GTGGAGGAGGTTCGAGAAGGACGCTGCTACTGGGCAGTTGGAGGCAGTCGCCCTCCAGCAACAACGGAGGGCAGAGAAGCGACGCTCACAACAACGAGCAGAGCGCCGGGCGGATAAAATACTGGAACAATTGGCACAGTGGAGAGCAATATTGGTGCATCTGCCACTCATCTCAGTCAGTCAACCAGTGGCAGCTGTGTCTTACTCGTGACCTCCTGCCAGCGGGCCTTCGACAATTCACGTGGCCTCATAGGCGCACCTAGCATGGCACTAGCGCCGTGGTGACGTCACCGCCACTTGGTGGCGAAGGGGGCACGTTGTTGTTGTTCTTGTTGTTGTTGTTGTTCCTGTTGTTGTTGTTGTTGTTGGCGAGCCATGTGGCTTCTGTAAAAGACGCGAATGACTCAGCGGGCCTTACCTACTAAGATAAAACATAGTTTAGGTTTATTTGTATATATAATTTAAAAGTCATTTGTTTACCTTACCTATAATTTGCACTCCTATCGTTTTGTTTATTCGTTGTTGTTGCAACGTTCTGGTATAAATCAATGTTCTGATTCTGGATATGACAGTGCCGAGTGTCACCCCCTCCGTGGTGTGTATTGGAGCTTTCCTCCCACACGAAGCCTCAACTCAGTCGTGTTACCGACCAAACATTCCGACGCAGGACCCTCCTGAGAAAGGAGCCTTCATTTTAGGGCACGGTTTTGCTGGGTTAGGTGGTAGCATTACTACGACAGTACTATTATTTGCAACCAGCGGTTTGGCAAAGCGTCATTCTGTATGGCGGCAGTTCATAGCCACGATTGCACGCACAGTTGCAGTTTGCCTTTAAGTAGAGAAATCAATTTCCATGCGGATGTTGAAACGCGTGTCAATTGTCAGTGGCTGCATGCTGCTGCCTTTGCTTCAACGAGTAAGCGCATCGCATACAGATTAGTGCCTGCGTGCGTCTGTGTGTTTGTGGAGAGAGAGAGAGAGCGGTGAGCGTAGCGGTTAGCGCGTCGCGCAACAAATGCGACGACCCGAGTTCGATTCCCGCTCACGGCCAAAACCAGCACCAGTGACGATTACCTAAAAGGGTCCTGGGCCGACTCCGCTAGGTCGACTCAGCCTCAAATGGTGGTTCTGGCCACCCACCCCCTCGTGCGCCGTGCCGGCCTTCATTGGTGCTCGCTAACAGCACTTGCCCCAACAGTCTGTTCATGCTATACGGCGGATCTTTGTTTTTGTGCAAATAAGTACTGTCATGATAAAGCTGGAGCCCTGCAATTGCTTGCTCACGTCAGTGCTGGCGCCAGGACCTCTACAAGAGGGAGCTCGGCTCAGAAAAAATGAAGAATTATATTACGCGGTGTTTTAGAGTTGAACAAAAAATACCGTACGTGGTATTAAAAAATACTGGCAAATGTGTACCCTCCAGAGGGCATTTAGTCGGCTCTTCTTCCACGCTGGCCACCACACGCGACCTGCCGATCGACTAACACGACTAGATTAGTCGCAATTACATATGCGTTACAAATGAATGCACTCGTGGGTACAATTCGTGCTCGGCCGAGATGCCTAATTTTACGCGTACAAAGTGCCACGGAGAAGGTCCATTAGCCAAAACGTCGCCTCGTATTTTCCATCTTGCCGAATGGTGTGAGTTTATTTTTAAATATTATTATAATTGTTAGTGTTTGTGCTCGAGCGCCACTGTTGATGCAGCAGCATGCATCGAAATAATTTGCCAAACTTAGCACGGACCCCAGGGCAGTAGCCGCTGGGATTGCGCTCGGCAAACCTCAGCCTCAATTTTCACACCCTGATGCTGTTTGTCGCAGAATAAATATGTTGAAATCCCCACGGACGCACCCCTGCAAGGTGCCAGCCACCAAAAACAGTTATTGCATCTGGACCACGAGCCAATTCGCACTAGCGGTGTACGGTGTAATATCAGGCACACGTGGGCCGTGACACGCGCACGCGGGGACATTGCGGATCCGCCTGCAAGAAGTCGCGTTGGCGTCCGCGCAGCAAAGAGTGACAAGTCTGTACCAGCCCGTCATGCTGACGAGGCGATGCTTTTAGAACTTATACACTGGTCAACACACTTTTTCTGGCATAAGGTATTTCAACGGTTTTAAGGTAATTTTGGGGTGCTGATTCCAAATCTGGCATCGGTATCAAATATTGCATTTTCAATAAAAACTGCAGAAGAAAAATATTAAATAAATGTGGATATCTACATAAAATGATATTATAAACACACTATCCTAAAAAAACAGCACCATATTTTAACACTAAAGCAGTCACTGACTCGCAACAACTTGCAATCATAAGTGACAGAGTTAACTTCGGGTAAAATCTATGAAAATGGGGTATGCCGATAGCATAAAAATGATGTGATAGAGCAAATCTGAGATCAGATTTGGAATCAGCACCCTGAAATTAGTCTAACACAGCTGCAAAAGGCCAGGCCAGAAAAAATGTTTTCTTTTTGTTGACCAGTGTAATAAATTCATCGCACGAGTGGCCTGAATTGTCGTGAGGCCTCGTCCCGTCCCCCACCCCAGAGTCACTTTGTTTTTTCCCCGTTAGATACAATACCACGATGTGTCCAAAAGGGGGCGTACCACTCATTGCAATCACTATACTGTGTTAGGAAAATAAGTTTTGCTGGCTGGAGAGAGGGAGGGAGGGAAGGAAGGACTTTGACAGATGGTCACGTTCATAACACGAGCTGGCTGACAGTGAGAATTACAAACAAACCTAGAGTCATGTGTTTACGTACCGAGATCATGGTCGTGCATATATCATCATCAATACCATGAGGTCCCTGGTTCTCTATAGTTAAAATGTTCCCTCATTCGACAGAGACACAGTTGAGCCATTTCCATTGCGCTATGTGACTGACGCCGTGTGACGAAGGGGGGGGGGGGGCGGGGGGGTCAAAAATCGTCCAAAGTCGCGTGACGTCATTTATGGACGGCCCCTTACGAGGGCGACAGGAGACCATGACAGCGACACCCAAAACGACAAAATCTTTGCGCAGCCCTGGCGGGGTTTCTTCTTTGTTTTCTTTGTCCGACAGCTGGACTCATTGCACATTCACCTCGGCGGATGCCGCCGGATTTATTCTCAACCTGTATAGAGCACATGCCCACATGTGCACCGCAGCAAGCGGTCACGTCAAGCTCCCCTCCTCCCCCTCCCACCGCTCCCCCCTCGAATAAAACAATCACAACGATCTGTGTGCACTGCATACCAAGGAACACAAAGACCCCCCCCCCCCCGTATAGTCTTAACAGACTGTAGGGGCAAGTGCTGTTAGAGGGGACATATGAAGGCCAGAATGGTACACGAGGGGGTGGGTGGCCAACACCACGCCCGGTCGCCTTTTGTCTCCCCAGTGGCGATGTTTACACATCGCACCGAGCACTCAGTTGAGGCTGAGCCGACCCAGGGAAGGCCCAGGACCGCTTCAGATAATCGTCGATGGTGTTTGGTCGTGAGCGGGAATCGAACGCGGGTCGTCGTGTTCATAGCGCAGCGCGCCACCGCTCCCCACCAAGGAACACGCGCACACACTCACACATCCCAGCTCCATAAGTCTATAGCGCAGCTATGTCTAACGGTACCAAATGTCCTCCTGGTGTGGCCACACACAGCCCAAGTGGTTTGAGGAAGGATGTCCCAGCATTCCCCACCCCTTACCCCAGCCCATGCCCACCCCCCCAAGCATATTTCTTATCACACTTGCTAACCACATGCCCAAAAAAGACTCAAAACGACAAGCGGTCAGAAACAAACAGTGATGTCAACTTTGCAATAGATCAAAGTTAATACGTGCCTCGAATTGAGCGACGTTATCAGAACTTGGAAAAAGAAATGGAGTATTGGCTAGGGACTCCAATGCCGAGCAGTGCTAGGGGTAATAACAGAAAGTGCTAATTTAATTATCCCAGCTTAAAATGTTCTGAGCGAGTGGGTGCCTCTTAATACAGCCGAGTAGTTGGGCAGGACTGGCAGAGGAGTTGGTGTGGGGGACGGGGAGTACAGGGACTCCCCTGCTTACGAACGAGTTAGGTTCCAGAGGTCTGTTCGTAATTCGATTTGTTCGTAAGTCCAACTTTACTCCTGTCGATTCCAAACATGTTGTACGGCATGCACACTAAACACGGGGAATATATTTAAAAGTTGTATAATCTCCTGTAGATGTAGATGCCACTGGTTCTTCACGTTCTGCAGATGTAGATGCCACTGGTTCTTCACGTTCTGCAGATGCCACTGGTTCTTCACGTTCTGCAGATGTAGATGCCACTAGTTCTTCACGTTCTGCAGATGTAGATGCCACTGGTTCTTCACGTTCCGCAGATGTAGATGCCACTGGTTCTTCACGTTCTGCAGGTGTAGATGCCACTTGCTCTTCACGTTCTGCAGATATAGATGCCACTGGTTCTTCACGTTCTGCAGATGTAGGTGACACTGGTTCTTCACGTTCTGCAGATGTAGATGCCACTGGTTCTTCACGTCCCGCAGATGTAGATGCCACTGGTTCTTCACGTTCTGCAGATGTAGATTTCACTGGTTCTTCACGTTCTGCAGATGTAGATGCCACTGGTTCTTCACGTCCCGCAGATGTAGATGTCACTGGTTCTTCACGTTCTGCAGATGTAGATGACACTGGTTCTTCACGTTCTGCAGATGTAGATGCCACTGGTTTTTCACGTTCTGCAGATGTAGATGCCACCACCGCCATCTATTGCGCGGCGGTTGAACTTACGACTCTCGGTCCGAAGAGGCAAACTGGACACTCGGCTCGGGTTTGTTCGCATCTCTGAAAGTTCTTGTGTCGAATGTTCGTAAGTCGAGGTGCACCTATAAAAGCGGGTGGGACTGCTGGAGGGAGGTACTGCCAGATCACCACGTGTCCAGGTTGACCCTCCCGGAGACTTTGAAGCTGTATACATCGGTCCGTCAATTGCAAAGGCCCATGACACGTGTAGTGCGATCGGTTGCGTGTGTAAAGAACCAATGTTTTATTTTTTTAGATTCATGTAAATGTTAGAGGCAAATCACAGTCGAATGTTACGTGCCTATGCCAGCGGAGCAAGCACAACTTCAAGCAAGACGAAAGTGATTAGAGAACAGGACAAATGGGACGACAGAAACGAGAGAGGCAAAACAACTGGATTCTTGAACCGACTTGTGGTGACGAACCATGACAATTCATCAAAGCGCAGGGAGGGGAGTGAATCGTTAAAAGTCATCTGCTGTATGATTTAGGCATTAGGTATTGTAGATAAGAGGTACCCGAGTAGCTGCGACTAGGGTTAAAGGATCCAGTATGTCGTGTGAGTGCCGTAATTATCCCAACAGTTATATTTTTGAGTTATCATTGATATGCTATTTAGAGTAGTCACATGCCAGTAGTCTGCAGTAGATGTGTTAAACCCATAGCTGTCACGTGGGGTGTCTACCAAGTACAACATTTATAGATTTAGGCAAAGCAGCATTCGGTCACAGGGACGTTATTTACGCACTTTCAACGGGCAGCGTCTTTTATTGGCTTAAAAATAAAGAATTTTATTTTGGCAGAGCACTTCCTGCTCAAATGATGCCCACGACAAAAGCTGTGCTTATTCAGGAGATGCCCGATGCGCCCCACAGCACGTGTTATTGCACAAAGCATTCCTTGCGCGTTCACAATTAAAATTTGCACTCGGAAGACGGTGGCCCACGCGTCAGATGCCTCGGTGTATAAAGGAATCGCGGTATTGAATGTTTAAATCCACGTGCCGGCATCAGTCATAGACGCACCATCCCGTTACAGCATGTGCCGTATTGCATTCCAATGTCACTCTCTGCTGTCATTCTCAATCCAATGATTATAATTTGCATGCATAAAGCCGTGGAATTTGGCACGAAAGCCATGGAATTGGGATTATTGGTGAATAATTGGCAATCGTGAATGTTTTGTACATCACTTGAATACAAATCTCATTTTAACTCGGTTATTTACAATTGTCGGGGAAGTGTACGGCACTGCCAATATTGACGCACTGCGCTATGAACACTGCGACCTAAGTTCGATTCATGGCCACGGCTAATATCAGTGGCGAGTGTTATCCCAACCGGTCCTGAGCTCCCCATTCATCAACGCACACGACTGACCAGTGCGATGAAGTATGACACTAAAAAAACAACCCGCATCAATGACAAGAATTGGGGAGGCCCTGATTCACCAATGGATTGACAAAGGGCTATCGATGGTTATTTTTGCTATTACTATTGTCATTACTACACAGAAGAAAACAATCTGGCAAATTAGTGCGACGGTTTTGAAAACATTATCTATCATCGCAACTGGCCGATGGGTATGTGAATGCCAACACTCCACGGCACAGATGGCACACTGCAGCGCCCATCATCCATAACATAATCAACTAGCTGAGCCCAAAACATCAAACACTATTACCGTGCGGTAACATCATTCTAAATAGCAGGTCAAAATTGAAAGTCATCTTTACAAAAAAATATATCCCTGGATCGTAGCTGATCTCCAGTTCGTTTCCATGCATTCGCCTAAACCGCAGCAGATTTCCGTGTCTTAGCCTGTCCACTTTGGGCTAGTTTTGTGCGCTGTTGATAACATTGTTCATCGCCGTTTTAGTCTCATTGTTCATTGGTGGAAGCATATCTACGGCAGATTTTCCAGTCTGAAAAGAGAAAAAAACACGCACGCAGTTTGTACAGGGATTTTGCAAGTTTTGCACACAAACAAGGCAGTGCTCAAAGTTGACATAGGTTACATTATTGGTGCGCTTTATAACCAATGCACGCGCGAGACCGTGACGATTGCAAATTCTAGTGGTGCTCTAGAAATCTGAATTTTGGCACAAATATAGTTGAGTCTGTCCCTGCAGCTGTATTTAGAATTCTGGCCCTATAAATTATGCTCCGTAGATTAATTCATCGGACAGGGGGCCCACCAAAACGTTCTAAAACGCTTTAGGGTGTTTTGCTAAACACTTAAAGGAGTGTGCTGCTACCAGTTCCCAGTAAGTCTATATAAATACGTGCGCACGCAAAAAAAACCCCACCGTACAGCCGCGTACATTGTAGGAGCACGTATTGTTAGACATCGTCTATTAATGTGGAAGCCATGCCCAAGGGTTGCGACGTAGTCAGCACGACACCTGGCCACCTTTGTCTCCCCACGGCTGATATTTATACACCACCCCCAGGCACTCGTACGAGGCCGAGTCAACCGAGAGGTGGCCCCAGGAAAGAGTTCAGACACCATTTGCCACCCACGTCATTCGTGGCCAGGGATCACTCAGGTCACCGGGTTAGAGTGCGCTGCGCCAATCGCCACACACTGCCGCTCCCCACCACGCACGAAGACAAAGATCCCCCGTATAGCCTGTAACAGACTGTTGGGGCAAGTGCTGTCAGCGAGCACCTACAAGGGCCGGCACGGCACAGAAGGGGGTGGGTGGCCACCACCACGCTCGGCCGCCTTTGTCTCCCCAGTGATGTTTAGGCACCACACGAAGCACTTTTTTAAGGCTGAGTCGACCTAGGGGAAGATGATGACCAGTTCAGATAATCGTCACTGGTGTTGGCCGTGAGCAGGAATCGAACTCGGGTTACCGGGTTTGTAGCGCAGCGTATCGCTAACCGCTACACTACCGCTCCCCACCCCACCACAAAGATCCCCCGTATAGCCTTAACAGACTGTAGGGGCAAGTGCTGTTAGTGAGCACCTATGAAGGCCGACACAGTACACGAGGGGGTGGGTGGCCAACACCACGCCCGGCCGCCTTTGTCTCCCAAGTGGCGATGTTCACACACCGCACCAGGTACTAATTTTAGGCTGAGTAGACCTAGGGGAGGCCCAGAACCGGTTCTGATAATCGTCACTGGTGTTGGCCGTGAGCGAGAATCTAACTTGGGTCGCCGGGTTCGTGGCGCAGCGTGCTAACCGCTACACTGCCGCTCCCCACCACACACGCACACACTCACACACATGCGCATATACCGACACGGCCACTCATCACTCACGTAGTTTTTGGCACCAACGCTGGCACCCGCCGAGATGAGGAGCTGAGCGAATTTGGGGAGCGCCTGGCGCATGACCTCATGGAGCGGCGTGTCCCCTTCCTGCACAAGGCGGCGGGGGGGGGGGAGGAAAGGGCATGCGAGGAGACACGGCTGTTACAAATACACACACATGCCCACTCCGTGTGCTACTGCCGGAGCGAGTCGTTCACTCAATTGTTTCATCTATTAAACAATTGCAATCGACTACCATTTTCCGCCGTGAAAAAGGCGGCCCACTCCCATGATCCTTCCTGCCGAATGCGGGAAACCCCCTACGAGCCACGCCAAGAGTGAAGTCGCTGATGATGCCGATAACGCCGCCTATCAAATCTCATACAGTGGCACGTGCGGGAACAGAGGTGAGACTTTGTATTTTTTAAATATATTTTGTGTTATGCAAATGGTAGAGTCATCTAAGAAATTAATGTACCGATTATAATCGGTACAATTAATGTGAATTTAATGTACCGATTATAATCGGTACAATTAATGTACAATTAATGTACCGATTATAATCGATTATAATCGGTACATTAAGCGATAACTTAATTAATCGCATATCCCAGCTGTGCTCTCCATCCTCCAATACAGTTGCTATTTACAGAATAAAGCGTCTCAATGTGAATGCATCTCAATGCACTGCACGGAAACAGCTGCCCGAAAATATCGTCAGACACTGACAGAGAAACCACATATCTCAAAACCACACGTGGAGTACAAAGCCCAAAGATTATTTTGTTTTTATCGTCACTTATTGAACTTGCCTTAGGAAGCTCAACATTATTGTTTTGAGTGAGTGCTACTGCACTGTTATAACCCAGTGACTTAACGGCAGTTGATAGATGGATGTGTTGATTTTTTGCCCAAGTAATTCCAGTTTTCTCCAAAACGCAATACACTCGATATACAAATTACAATATAACTGTATACAGAGTTCTCCTGTTAAATAGTCTTGAGCCTCAATTATTCTACGTGTTTTTGCCTCAATTATGCTTTACTCGGAATTTATTTTACAAAAATTGCGTCCATATTACATTTCATTTGTGATATCGGCAGTATGTTGCGAAAGTACTGATTGTGCCGTGCAGTGCACTACCTGGTATCAAGGAAAGGATTTCAAAGATTATCTTATGGACATACTTTTAAAGTCAATTCCATAAGCTACTTTATTCATAATACATATTGTATTCCTTGAAAAAAGTATTTGGCACGTGTCAATTCAATATATAATGTTTTATATTAATAGATGGTATCAAATCAAAATAAGTGAAAACTCAAATTCAAGATGATGATTTTTCTTTTGGTGCATCAACTCCCTCTTGCTTGCGAACCTGTGTCAAGTCACAGGTGGTTGCAACATTGATGTGGACCCAGGATCTCAAGTGGTTCCAGCTCCTCAGGTTCATTGACACAGTTGTTAGCCTCCTGCGCTCATCCGACCACCTCATCTAAACACGCATGTCCGATCCCAATCAACGGGTCCTTCTTGCTGGCACGCACCTTGTCCTGGGCGTTCACGTTGGCGCCACGCTCGATGAGGAACTCTGCCACGTTGTACTGCCCAACGCGAGCGGCCACGTGCAAGGGGCTGCTCAATATCTGTGAGCGAGGAAATGCAACGATTAAACTGCGGTCATGATGAGATGCGCGATTATATTATTATGAGATGTACGAATACACTCTGCTCGTCATCCTCGCAGTGGCGGCGGCTTGTTGGCTCGCCGTCGAACAAAGACGGTCAGATGCACTCCTGCGGCCGTCTGGAACGCTCTTCCTTCCGATATTGGGAAGCCACTGGGAGCTATGCTCTTTCAAATCATCTGGATCAGTAGTTCTTAACCTTTGCTGCAGCCTTGCACCCCTGTGGTTCTCAGTCGTTAAAACTAATTTATGTTAATAAATACACAGGTTTGATGAAACAAAGTAGTTGTACTTACGTGCTTGTGCTTAATTTGTGTTTCGATTATTTACCCTATTTAAAAAAAATCTGACCATTTCTCGCACCCCCAGAAAGGGCATCTCGTACCCCCAGGGGGTGCGTCCACCCCAGGTTAAGAACCACTGCTCGAGATTGAAAACTAATTTTCTTTAACTCTGATGTTTGTGTTATAGTTTGTTGTTCTTCCACTGCACATCCAATTCGCGTGGTTGGCTATGTACGTATGCCTATCAACCCATACGGTTTACCCATAATCTTGAAAAGGGAAATTGAGTTTTCAGGTCCATACGTTTCAATACGGGCACACAAAAATTGTCTCTTTGTTTGTGTTTCTCCCTTGTGATGGGACTTTGTAGGGTGAACGTTGAGATTTGTAAGGGCACGGGATGACCAATTAGATCTGAAATTGTCTGTAATAAGGTAGGCACTGATAAGGGGTTGACAAGTATGTGTACGGTGCGATAAAAGTTCAACATACATACATACTCATGATGGCAAGCTACGGCACGCCAGACTTTTAGTTGACCGGCGAGATGTGTATAAACATTCTACTTACAGCGAGGGGATCGCAGTCATCATCGGTTGTTCTGAAATATCCCCCACCACCAAGATATGATTAAGTAGGCACAACCCCATCAAAGGACGGGACAAATAATATGGAAATGTAAGTACACAGCTCAATTCCCAATCTAACCCAAGGATCCACTGCAGTTTAGATATGTCTCCACATATACATGCAAATCATCATTTACAGAATAAATAAACAGATCTCTTATTTTATTTATTTGCTTTGTTACCCATACTGCTCTGCAAAAATTCGTGAGGTTTTTTTTCTTCCGTTCACCAATATCAGGTGGGAGTGGGTTGACTGTGGAAATGAATTACAACTGAAAATTGAATTTGCTATTTCTGTCCACCCCAATCCACCCACGCTGCCCCTGATGGGTCTGTACCTACTTAAGCCCGTTGTGGTAAAATGCACATGTGCACCATTGATGACAATCTATTTGCTGTAGTTAAATCTTATCATTCATTAGATGTGAGAGTGGTTGGGTGTCTTCATTGTTTTCGTCAATATTATCCGGATCCCCACGATGTTCCCCAAATCTTCTGTGAAATTCCTAGCATTCTCATGTCCAACACTCTGCCTTAAATACCTGTCCAGTCACACTCCAGTTGGAACCACGCCGTAAAAAGCAGGTTAGGTTCCGTTGAAAACAAAAGTCCGTCTTGCAAAGCGAGACCTCGGGATAAACGAGCGAAGGTGGACCTCGAGTCAAGGTGCCCTTGAGGTGGACCAATTGTTCATCTGCTAACGAGTGACGATAATCAGAGGGCGATGACGGTGATGGTGACGATGACGATGCCATTTCGGGCGGTGTTGCTGGAGAACTGCCTCCCGGCGCTGCTGCATAAATTCTGCGTAAGGCGCGAATCTGTCAGCGAGGCACGGGGCGTTTGTTTGCTTTTGAAATGAACCGGGTAGTTTAATATTGATGTCACCACATCCCTCGAGACTCCCAGAGCCAGCCTTTGAATATTTTTTATCATAATTATTTTTCCCCCCTTTTGCAGCGGCCGCAGAAATGGATGAACGCGCGCGTCACAGCATCACGCACTCATGGCGCCTCAGCCTTCAATGAAATGACTCCTCAAACTGCGTATTAATGTTCGCTCACATTTTCCCAGGTCCACCTTGTATGTATATGTACGTATGTCAGAGGTCGCAACCGGGTACCCGATACCCGTACCCTACCCGACACCCGGCTACCCGTACCCGGCCGGGTACGGGTACGGATACCCGTTTGCCACCCTGGTGCGGCCGGGTACGGGTACGGGTAGGCCGTGAGTCACTGGTGAGTAATTGTTTGTCACTCATTTCCCAACGTCTTGTCTCTTCTCACAATTCAAGTTCCTAGAATCAACCCACCCGCACCTGCAACATGGCTTCATCCCAGAGGTCGCAATCAGGTACCCGATACCCGTACCCTACCCGTCCCCGGCCGGGTACGGGTACGGGTAAGGAATCAAAACCCGTTTGCGACCTCTGACGTATGTTGAACTTATTTTGCACCGTACGTAGCCAACCGTGCCAAATCGCGGTTCTCCCTTGGCAAAACAGACTTTTGCTTGAATGAGTTCTCGTCTGGTTTCATGGGAGAGTAGCAATGTCAACTTTCGTGTGAATCAGACGGGTATTTAAGGCAGGCATAATGTCTGCTTATTTTGTTTGCAACATAGAGTTGTGCATTTCACAACGAAGCTAGAAAATGCAGGGCCGCGCGAAGAATATTTGGTTACGGCACAGAAAATGCGGCCAAGTAACTCGAAAGTTCATCTAATAGAATGTGGGCAGGTGCTGTCGGAAGGGAGGTTGCCATTGGGGGGGGGGGGGTGTAGGCAGGAGGAGAGGGGCAGGTGACACCGTTTGCCGGATTATCCTAGTAGCAAAAGTAGCTACGTATGCTACGGGCCCCGCGCTAAATGCTTTCAAGCTATCAATTCCGGTTCAGTGATTCTGCACATGCTCTATTACTATAGTACTATACTGCCTTCAACTTTCATGAACGACTGGGTGTTTAAGGTTAGCGATTTGTCGTATTGTCTGGCTCTATAGAAGATGAAAAAATACAATGACTTTACAATGCAAGTAAAAAATGTGTGTTTTAATATTTCTCTGTTTTCTTTTTACTTAGGGCCCCTTTATAACATCATATGCTACAGGCCCCGCACTAACTTAATCGCAACGGAGCGTCGCGCCCAGAGGTCAGCAACCAAGAGGGAGAATTCAAACCCAGATAGTAAAACATCGTCGTTGAAGGCCGGGATTCAACTTTACTCACCATCATGGGATCGAGCGATAAGGAAAAGGAGCCTTGCCGACGTGTGATTTATATCTACGGCGTCGGACATGAGGATCTCCTGGCCTCCCCTCTCTGTATACTCGCAACCGTTGCGTAACGCCTCCCGTTGAAACGCAGAACTAATTGCACGCCTCGATGGCCCATTGATAAGTTGAACCCCCACCGAGGCTCCTCTATATGGTCGCAACTCCGGTGAGCTGGAACTCACGACCCAACTGCGCATGAATAGCCCAGATTAGGGGCCGTCCATAAATGACGTCACGCGATTTTGGACAATTTTTGACCCCCCCTCCCTCGTCACACGGCGTCACAAAAAGTCAGACCCCCCCTCAAATATGACGTCACAAAGCTCTGCCCCCCCCCCCCCAAACCGTATTTCCATTTTGAAAATAAAACATGCTTCAAATCGCTTTAAACTATTGTCATTACAGTATAGTGCGTATTTAATGCGGCGCTGCACTCTGATGTTGTAGGAGAACACATTTATTAAAAAGTTTATTTTATTAAATAGAACGTGTTGTCTATATTTATTTAAAGTTGCGCATATTGTTGTGACGTCATATTTTTCAAACCCCCCCCCCCCCCATCGTCACACATCGTCACAAATGTCTGACCCCACCCCCCCCCCCCATAGGTGCGTAACGTCATTTATGGACGTCACCTTGGGTCCTCACTCAGCCCCTCGGCAAATTGTTGCGGGCGCTGTCACACCAATGACTCGTGCGCGCGATGACCCATCGGCAGATATAATGATGACATTACCGAGTCTGTCGCCTTGATGCTGGCGCCGCTGTCCAGGAGGGTCTCCAGCACCGCCACGTGCCCTCCCCGGGAGGCGCAGTGCATCGCGGTCGACTTCAACTGGCGGATGGGGAGTGCGAGACGCGGGGCGAGTGGTGGGTGGGTGGGCAGTGGAAGAGGGGGGGGGGGGGATTTACCAGGTTAGGGGCCATCCATTGAGTACGTACGCATGGAGGGAAGAGGGGGGCGTTAACCCAATTGCGTATGGGGGGGGTCTACTGACAATGTACGCATCGGAGACGGGGGGGGGGGTTGAAGCCTCGATGATTTGTCTACATTGGCCTTCAAATGAGTTAGATCGTCCGGCGGTGGACAATCTGTTTGCTTAAACACGTTAATATTATTCATTCTTGATCGTTTCTGCGTGGATTAAATATCGGCCGTTCTATAGGATTCGGGGGGGGGGGTGGGTGCTTCAAGCGAACGTACGCAGGTGGGGGGGGGGGTGAAGTTTTGACAGATTTTTGCGCACCTACTACATGGATGGCCCCTTAGCCGGGGAGTCAAGGGGGAGGGGGGGGTGTTGGCCGGGTATAGAGCGCTCGCATCATCTGCGCGAATTTGCCTATGCACCCCCCCACACCCCCAACGTCAGCTATGCTAATTAGTGCGTAACGCTTCATTCAGTTTCGTGTCCATCGTTCCAACTTGGATCGACGGAGACCATTTGTGGGCACAAGAGGCCCGCGCGCGGGCAGTAACGATGCTCAAATCACCAGCTGTGCCAAGAACCTCCCCCCCCCCGCCCCGTCTCTGGAAGATGACACGGGGAGCAAGATGAGGCGAGCAAAAAAAATCGGTCCCTGGGCGAGATAACGTGATCGACACGTCGACTCACGCCGCCGGCTGGGAGTAGCGTATTACAGCTGTGTGCAATGGGGCACACGCACACGCGTCTCTGTCTCTGCGCTGTGCGAATCGCTTTAAATCACCACTGCCCGCATGTATTGTGCGCAGGACCGGATTAAGATTTTGTAGGCCCCTGTCATACAGGTACTGTGAGGCCCCCAGTAATATTTTCAAAAGGAAAACAAAGTTAAAGAAAGGCTAACAGCAAATAAAATTCAGCATTCACAACTTAATTTAAAACCAAGCGAGATGTTAGAAAATATGTCCGTGAATAGAATTTCAACTGATAATAGGGTTTTCCCCTTTTTTCTGGCAAGAAAACAGGTGTTGAGATGTTAAAACACCAAACTGAAACCTTTTTACAAGGAATCACGTCTGCGTTAACCACAACGCTTGTGGTCAGAATGCAAACAAAACACACTCTGATAATATTTGCATCAAATTAAATAACTTTTCACATCATCTCTGGAGGCCCCCTCCAGTTGGCGGAGGCCCCTGGGCTTGCAGCCCCTAAAGCCCCGTGCCGTAATCCGGCCCTGATTGTGCGCGATACAGCTGAGCTATTTATAGATGGGCGCTAATTTAAACAACAAAAAACGTCGCCACGTGTGTCCTTCGCGCCGCTTTACAGCAGCAGACGCGCGGCGTTCTCGTGCGACGGGCGTTCTTGAGAGAGCAGAGCGAGAGAGACGTCGGAGAGATTTTTTTTTGGCGACGTCAAACTTTTGACACCACGGTGAACTAAAAACACACACCGACGTAGACACAAACTCTTTTATGCAGCCTCAGACTCTTGAGTCATTCTTTACCCTCTGCGCAGGAGAGGGGCAGTTGTCTGAAACATCCCATTACGGTGTTTTATTATTGTTTCGAAGACATGTTGAACAATAACTCTCGTTCAGAGTTAGGAAGCACTCTGTTTCAGAGCTACCAATTTTCAAAATGGTCGTTTGGCCATGTTTTGAAGTTTCGCAAAAATGTAGAACATATTCATAATCACAAAGCCAACGACTGTGCAGTATTAAGCCAGCAAAGAGTCTCAAGACTCTTTTTCAAGAGGACCCTGCATTTTGATGGTTGGCAAATACCATTGATGAGTGGCGTGTGGGGACGAAGCCTGTGATAAAATCGGGATGCATACGAGAGGGGTATAATCACTCTGCACTGCCATCTTTTGGCCACCTTTGCAGCCCCCACGCCTACTACACTTGGCAAGCCCTGATGGTCACCCCCATCCAAGTACTAACCAGACTCAACCCCGCTTTAGCGTCTGATATCCAATGACATTCGTGCACATTTAGGGTGATTTGGCAAAAATAAGCAAACGCACCTTGTCTTTATTTTCCAATTGAGCTCCTTTGTCAATGAGCTTCTGTACCACTTCCAAGTGCCCGGCCTGGCTGGCTTGATGGAGAGCCGTGCGATGGGTCTGGGGACACGGTACATACAGGGAAAAAAACACAAAGATCGCTTGTGTAACCTTATATAAGCTGACAAATACAATGTAAATAAAACAAAACATGAATTACACTGAGAGACGGAAACACGTGGATCATAGAACCAACACAGATGAGATGCACAATATTGACCAATGAGAAAAGTAATTGGGCTTGTCCGACACACGTCGGCAGAAGGGATTAATGTTCGAAGTGATAAGACCCGTGATAGTTAAAGGTGGGAACTACCTGCTGTAGGGACAAGTGCTGTAAGCGAGTAGCAGCGGCTTTGAAGGCCTGCTAGGAGGGAACGCACCCAAGCGGACGAACACCATGAACATGGATCTATGAGATCAGTTCGTTTACAGGAAGTCGGGTAAATTGTCGCATCCCAGGACTGCGAGGGATGGCGACAGCAGTGGATAGAGGATGGGGAAATATGATGAAGCAGCTGCGGGCGAACATATATTAAGACAGCCATGGCGCAATGAGAGGGTGCTACGGCCAGCACCATGCCCGGCCGCTTTTGTCTCCCCAAGTTCGGAGGTCTAAGTACCACACCGAGGCTGAGTGGAACTACGAAGAGCCTCGGACAGGTCCATATACCACACACCCCTGGCGTTATCTATGGGTGGAAATTGAGCCCAGCGCAAGGCAAACGACTGCATCACCGCCACCGACACACACCGCACACACCCACTGATTACCAAAATAAGACCTCCCGTTTAACCTTACAGACTACCGGGACAAGTGCTGTTATTGAGCACCTAGTAAGGCCCGAATGTGCGGCCGGCGCCACGCCTGGTCACCCTTTGTCCACTTAGTCAACCGAGGAGAGACTCAGAATAAGTTGAGCTGTGAATGGACTTATAGCTGCCGAGTTCACGTGTGTATTTAATGTTGTGTAATTGAAGCAGCCGTGCGTGGTGTGGTTGTCAGCTTTGTGTGGACTCTTTCGCAGGGAGATAATTACAGCACTGACCACCGAGCATGATCATCAAAAAAAAAGATGAACTTGAGCCTCACTGGGCTTTCATCGCTTCTAAATACTCTCACGGGACAGGTCCGTGCTGTGGATACAATAGCCAATTTTACCAGTGTGCCTACTCATACAAATGCATTGCTCTTGCAATATCCGTCCTTTGGAAACGTCCCTTTTTTGGTTGTGACTGTCACATGTTTCACCGCTGTTCATGTGAGTTTCAGTACCAGCTTGTGGGGAAGTCAACAGTGATTGTCCTACAGAAAACACATTCCCTGCCGTAGGAATGTGGAATTTCCACCACTGGTGCAAGGCTGTAAACAAGAGATGAACACCACTTCAGAAGAGCTTATCCAAGCAGGAAATTACGCCGACTTGTTTGACTAAATGGCTAACGTTTAGGAAGTTGTAACCAAAACTGAAAATATTCTATTATCATTTAATTTATTTTCTTTCTACGTGACTTTACCGAAAGAACCAAAGAGTAATTCCTGCAGTCCCGAAAGCTTCGAATCTAGTTCAAAAACTGAAAAGTGCACAAATAAGTGCGTGGGAGATGCACGCTTTGATTTTATTACATTAAGAGACAGAAAGATGGACAGATGGACTTGGGGACACGTGCAGGTTTGAGACATCTTTGGGCAATGGGACGTCGCCAGAAAGGTGGTTGCAACGCGTGATAGTGTGGCAGGGAATGTAATCCGGAAGATGTCCACCGCAGAAAGGGAGGGATACGTCATTTTGTGCACAAAGTCCTCGGTGGATCGTTGTTACCGAGCACGACCATGAGAGATTGGCGACGGCTTGGTGAGGCCTTCATCCAGTCGTGGATTGATCACAACTGATGACGACGACGATTATGATGATGATGGCAATTGGAAAACTAACCGCATCGCAAGAGTCAGGGTCACCACCCTGCTGCAGGTACTCCTCCACCACCTCCACTTTCCCTCGAGCCGCAGCTTTCAGGAACTCCGCAACACTCACCGAGTTCTCCTGATGTCCAAAGAGAGGGGAGGAGCAGGATGAACGGTGGAGGCAAAGCTGATTGATCCATCACAAACCATTATTGTCTTCCGTGCAGCACCACTAACCATTCTTCCTTCCTTACACGTGGCATAACGCAATTTAAAAAACAGTGTCCCCATGCTAATGGCATTTATCCGTCCACAAAAGCCTAAATTATTCTCAGTGTTCTTTTCAGGAGGTCCCTATACATTGGTGCGTTAGACTCATCCTTGTGTTAAAGGGTGTTTTGCTTAATGTGAAATGAATCCGTAGTGCTCGCACACAAGCTGCTCATTCGAGGGGACATAGCACTCAACAATTTCGCACAGATGGGGTTGCGCTCGACACTCTTGCTGCGCGGCCTGGCTAAGGAGTTTCAGAAACCTGCGTGGTGTACCAGCCCGCGCCTGCGTGTGCCACCACAGGCAGCTATAGAGGGGCCCATTGGCCGGAGGCTTAAACGCTGTTTGGTGATCGCGAGGCAGCGGTTACAATGCCACGTTCTTGTGCCGAGGAGGGATCGCTTATAGGAAATGAAACAATGTTGATTTCCCACGAAGGGATTTTCACATGGTAATGCAGTGACGTGGTCAGAAGTTGGCAGCATTGCTATGGATTTCGAATCTATCTGTGCGGAAGCTTTAAGTATTCATCCGATGTACGTGTGGTTTTTATTGTTTTTTTTTCAACACGCCGCACACTCAATTATGAAACTGGCCAAATATTGTAATATAGATCACTCCTTACATAGATTATTCCGATTCCTGAAAGCTGGTTAAATGAGATTATTCCAATATGTTTGCTATCTAAAGCCTTGCTGAGTCTCAATATATTTTTTTCACTCGGGACCTGAATTGGTTCGTTTGACCGACTCCATAATGAGTGTTGACATTTGGGAAGAAGCTGGAGAACTGGGGGAAAACCAACACATATATCTGGATAATACTCAACATTTACATCTCATAACCACATTGCAGATAACTTTCGAGATTTGGAGATGGCTGTTCAAGCTGCATCGTACGTGATTTGGTTCATGCATTTAGCAAAACTAGCTAAATAGATTTCTATATCGAGTAATATACAACTTAATTATATAAGAAGGCATATGCGAGGCATGATTTAAGTATGATGTAGATTTCCACGTGAACACAACATTAATCACAGATTAAAGGAATATTGTTTTTCGATATATTAAAGTATCGTTCAGGAAATCGTGAAGATGGCCAGTCCACTAAAATCTCGATTCGTTTTTTTTTTATCCCAGTAACTTAAATCACGCCACTACTTAATCTGCAATTCAATAAGGATAATGCTTTGTATTCACACGGTGCTTAAATGATAATTTTAATGAATAACAAATATGTACATACTGTACCTGCTTGCGATGGCTTGCTTTTACATTTAATTAGAAAAAAAAAACTCAAAACATGATTTTTATTGTTGTCTATAAGAAACTTTTTTTTGCACAACACTATATATCCATGAGCACAAATTCACCGTGTCCCCCCACCCCCCGCCCATATGTAGGCACACAAACAAAGTTTCACTGATAACAGAAAAAGGACGACGCTGAAGCGGACGAGATAAAGGATCGCGTCGTGAGTGAACCGGTCACAACTTCGCCAAACCCGCACTGACCAGCGTGGTGAAGTATGGTCAAACAAAACCCCACGACCGGAACGGCGCGTGGGGGGAGGCCTTCGTCCGTCAGTGGAATTTTAATTGATCTCAAGTTGACGCGTTCTCATTTGGTGCGTAAGGATTTAATTTTATCATTATAATTGTATCTTCTTGGTTCTTTCGGTAAAGTCACGTAGAAAGGAAATAATAAAATAATAAAAATAAAACATAAAATAATTCTCACGACGTTTCGGCCACAACGCAAGCAGCCATCCTCAGGTGAAGAACAGGTCAGTCGGGAAGACAGCGTAAGAAACGTCGTGAGAATAATTTTATTATGTTTAATTTTTATTATTTTATTATTTCCCTTCTACGTGACTTTACCGAAAGAACCAAGAAGATGAATCCATGCAGTCACGAAAGCTTTAAATCGAAATTATAATTGTACTAAAAAATTGTAAATGTTGTGGTTTCACGCTTCAACACACCGGTGGGCTAAAGCAGTGAACTATTTGTCTTTTGTCAACGTGACACTTTTTTACTGATTGGCCGGGTGGTGGAGGGTTACGACACATTTATAAATAACGCGATCTAAACCCAAAAACGTTGATTATGAATTATAATTGTTGTCATTATGCATATTTGCACACACCCAAAGACATTTTACTTTGCGGTCACTTGACAATTTGGTAAAACACTCATCGTTGCACTCGTTTCCGTTACATAACGACAGCATATCAGGTGTGCAAACGTCACAGCAACGTACCGTCTCCTCCTCGTCAATAAGAGTCATTTTCTGCGCTCAGAGATGATAAACGAAGCCAAACGGAATTCGTGGACGTCTCGTCCGTTCGCCCTTCCGGATCTCACAGCTGCGAGCTGGCTGAAATTGTTCGACGCCTTTGCAGAAGCTGTGCGGGATCCCGAAGTGCGTAGCTTGGCGACCACCCGTTGGGTTTAACACACAGACACACACATATATATATAGGAGGAGGAGGGGGGAAGCATGGCTTATAGGGTTGGGGGAGTGGCCCATTCAAGGGGTCATCAGTAACCGCATGGATCAGCTTCTTGAGCCACAGGACCTCCTCATTCCCACCCCTGAACTAAATCCATCCATCATCTTTGCCGACACCCCAACCCCCCTACCTCCCCCCGGACTGCCGCTTGAGCAATTCCCACAACCCCTTATGATCGCTGTCAGTGGCCGATTCAAATGACAGTGACACAGTGTGAGAAACACACAATGTTCTCACTGTTAACACGATTGTTGTGGACATCTGTATTCTACAGATTTCGCCCATGGATCACACACGCCAAATTGCACGCGCACTTTCTAACCCGTGCCTGCTCCACACTCACCGCAAGAGTACATGTAGGTCATGCTAATTTACGGGCCCACTGTAAATCCAATGCTGGATGAAGACCTCCCCATGCCGTGTCGGTCATGGGGGTTGTCTGTCCATACTTCACCATGCTGGTCAGTGCATGTTGGTGAAAGAAAAGTCCAGGTTTGGTTCAGATATCACTCACCACTGATGTGAGTGATGGCCAGGAATCTCTAACCATCCTCCCAGCTAATTGCTGCCCTCCTGAGAACCTATATGTACATTATTTATCCTTTGCTTCTGTACGTTATGTTAATATTCTATTCACACACTATATCTGAAATGGGAGCATTTCTAAACGGTGCTTGCTGTGTAAGAGCTGCAATTATGGTGACATATTCCTGTAATTACCGCAGCGCTTTGAAGGCACGGTTGTTGTGAGACACCCACCTCCCAACAGCGGCGAGTTGCCAGGTGACAGTGCAGGAAGTAGGTTACTGGCCTTTCAGCATAGACTTGTCGAGTGCTCACTCCTCATGCGCATTTCGGATGCAACGAATATTCCAGTTTCTTCCAACGCAAAACAAAATACGAAGGAAACCTTGTTTGAGTCATAGCAAGCGGCAACCTCATTAAAAAACACATTCCTGCGGAGGGGGCTGGTAGGAACGTTGGGTTGCTCGGTCAATGGCCAGGGTCAACGGCGGCGTGGTGTATTCCGCAAATATGCCCGACTGTGAGGGCGGGCACAAGCTGGCGTGAGTAGGTTAAACGTTGAGTTTTATAAGGGCACCACGGGGTGACCAGCCCCTCCCCACCCAGCCCCACCCCTCCCACCCCCCATCCAGCCCCACCCTCTCCACCCAGCCCCTCCCCACCCTCCTCACCCTCCTCTCCCAGCCCTTCCCCACCCTCCCCTCCCCACCCAGCCCCTCCCTCCCTCCCCACCCAGCCCCTCCCTGCACGACGGACGGACACAATAATCCCCTGTGGGCTGGTGTAACCAGGAGGTTCCTACCAGTATAACCTTCAGACTCAAGGATGCTACCTGGGTAAATAAATACGGTTTAAGATTTGAATGCTTTGCAAAACAAATCCAAGTATCTATTTCATTACGCCATTTGACATTAAAATCCCCTTAATATAACTTGACAGCAGCCGTCTGGAAATAATGTTTAATGGGAATTCTGTAACGAACACGATGAGCCAGTGTCTGGAAACAGAATCGGTCGCCCCCACTAAGTTCATTTATTGCGAGGCGACAACTCGAGGCGCCCGCAGTCAGGGATAGCCGGTTCACGCATCGTGAAACCACGGCAGGGACGGCGTGCCATCTGATATAAAAGTATGCATCTGATACAAAAAAAGCTGATTTACAATTTCTGATATGAGGTGAGGCATATGCATGCACCCGCCCGCTGGAATTACGCCACGTGTAAATGTACCGCTCTTTCGTCAATCCACTGCTGGATGAGTGCCTCTCCACAACGGCTGAGTCGTGGGGGTGGGGGGGGGGTTATTTGACCATACTTCACCACGCTGTCCAATGTGGGTTGGTGGCAATGGGAGCATTGAAGCAAAGTACAATGGATAGTCATGCATTGCCCTATGCAATAGATAGCACAACCCTGAAGATATCTGATGACAACCTGGCATGCATGGTGGTCGCCCAGTGAAGCACTATCCAGGCTCAACCGGCTTAGCTTGCGATATGTCATGAGATTGGGTGTATTCCAGATGAAATTTATCGAGAAAAAAACCCCATTCCGGATGGAAAAAGCTCTTTAAAACACCCATACACTGCAATCGGTATTGACCAAACATTCCAATTCTGATAAATAATTACCCTTAAATGACTCAATTGGGATCTGCATATAGTAACACTTCACAGAACCCTACTGAAAACCAGTCTTTCCTGCGTAAAAAAAAACGTAATAATAAATTATAAAACACGATTGGACAGATACATAGGATAGTGTGAATCATACAGGTTAACACAATAGAGTCCACCGCTTTCCACAATTATAATTTAGAACAAAAGCCTCCGCTCACATCGAAGACGTTTGCACATTCGGAGCACGGCAGAGACGCCATGAAATAAAAAGGCGATGTTCGTGTGTAGGCTGTACTGTCTTCGTTTCTCTCCCTGCCTTCATATGCATATGACGAGACAGAGTGTGCATGCATGTGTGGGAGCGGTGATTATTAGTACAGAGGAAAGTATAGGCTTACGAGTCAAATATAGTCCTGCTTTTGACGTCCGTCAACCTTAGGCACCCCCAACTGTGATATACGTGGCACAGCACTTGCACATGGATTTAGACGATACGCACATTGCCTTGCAAGTAATGTGTAGTATGAATCAAAATTGCTGTCTCAAGAGCAGGTGCACGTGAGGCTCTCAAGCCATTGGCAAATGTCAGCTGTGGCTAATGAAAGGGCCTTCCTCATTAATGTTTCCAAGTGGCATTTGTTCAAAGTATATTCCCTTGCCAAAATAGTCCGCCTCAGGGAAAATTACATTCATAACTGTTTTAAATGTTTAAAGATCAAATAAAGTATCCGCTTGCTCGGTGGAGGAATGGTGTGGTCCAGCACCGCCATGCGGCTCTATCGAAGGCGCACAATGTCGAACGTACGATCACAGTAGCAAAGAATAATGACTATCTCCTGTGCTGTGCCGAAAACTGTCTAAATATACACACGTGTATATATATATATATACACTTGGCTCTTTGCAGAACTCACGGGCACGTTGTGGGCCTTGGTATGTAACACGTTGGCCACCCCTGGTGGAGTGATTCCCGCAATGCGCTATGAACGTGTCGACCTGGGTTCGACTCCTGGCCATGGCTAACAACAGTGGCGAGCGGTATCTGACCAGGTTTTGGGCACCCCTCCTTCTGCACCAACCTGCACTGACCAGCGCGGTGAAGTATGATCAAACAACCCCAATGACCGACACGGCATGCAGAGGCCTTCACTTCTGCAGTAAATAATGTGATTATCTTACAGTCCTTTGGCAAAGAGACCAGAAGGATTGCATGATGTTAATTACCTCGCCTGGTATACGGGAGGTCATGGATTCGATCCCAACTCTGAAGCCTGCTGTATATTTGGAGTTTGCATGTCTCTCTCCCTGTGTCGCGTGGACTTTTCTCCGGGTCCCCGAATTTTTCCCTCCACAGTTAGAAACACGCGTCTCGGGTATTTGGTTTGCTATAAATGTCCACACGATAAGCCACTTCGTTGAGTTATCATTTGTGGCCAGGTCGCTTCTGAAAAAGAGTTATGTAACTCAGTGGGCCTTACGTGGTAAAATACAATTTTTTATATAGTTTATTTGGTGGAATTACCCATACTTTACCCCACCAGTCAATGCATTGTGCCGCTTTTGTCATTAACGATGCGAGCATTTTTTTTATTTAATACGTTTTGACAGCACATGCTTCTTACGGCCGTGAGAGCCTGTTAAAAGAGCCGGACAGCCTATTCTGTGACAGATATGGATGTGAAAAGCACATGGTGCAGTGTCCCATGGTGGAACTTAAATGTGTCCAGCTCAGCGTGTGCGTGCGTGACATACCGAGACGAGTGCATTCCCATTGCAGACATTTCAGAAAGAAGCCGAAATGTTTAGAAAAACGGCAAGACGGATAGTCCTTAAATCAAACAGTGGCGATAGAAATAGAGTAGAGCGATGGAGCATCGGCTAGTGCATGGTTGACCGACGACCTGAGTGTCATTCTCAACCATTGCTGTGGCGAGTGAGCCTGTTCTGGGCAACCCCTTCAACAAGCCACAACTCACCGGCGTGGTGAAGTAAGTTCGAACAACCCCCGTGAGTGAAAGGTGTGGTGGGGTGGTCTTCATCCAGTAGAGGATTGATAAATGGCTTACACACACAAACCTATCAATATGAATGCGCTCGCGCATTTCATTGTATCAGTGGTAGTGTCATGCTAGAAATGACTTTACCAGAAAAAACATATTCTCGTAAGGGTCCTGGGATGTTTGGCCAATGCCATTCGTGAGCATTTGGCACGTGGATAGAAACCCAAGCGCACCGAGGAAACCTACATCAACGAGGAGATACCGGTCAAAAGCTCCGCACAGGTAAATTAAATCCACTGACACATTCAACCCATTGCTGTACTTCCATCTCCTGGCCACCTCACAGCCCCTACGTCTGCAACAAAAAATGGCCATTCCCGCATGGTTCACACATCCACACTGGGTTTGATTTGAACGTTGAGCTGCCGCGGCATTATTGTCCTTGACCAAGACACGTGCCGAACCCCCTCCCCTCTGTCTCTGAGCACGCAACACGCGGCGTCTTCATCGTGGTGGCATCACGCAACCCACGCTATTGCGGCCAGACACTGGTGGTGGTGGTGGGGGGGGGTCGGTGATTGTAAGATGGGGATGAAGGGGACAAGGGGGAACACTTTAAGTTCTCCTTATGTACCGCGATATATAATTATGCGTCGGGACGAGTGCAAGCCCAGCGGTAGTGTATATATATAAAGTGTTTACAAACACGGTTAAACTGCCAGCCGCGCGTGTCGCGTTACGAGGGTTGGGGTCTGTGTAAGGCAAGCTCCCGCATTCCCCGCGTGCGAGCGTGACTTGTGCCAAGGATATTATCCCCCCACAGAGAGCGCTTTCAGCCATAAGCGATAGGGGAGATACTTTATTTAAACGGTGTACGTTTGCCGGATGGAAAATGTTTCTAAGCACAAGCTCATATATGTCGTTGTTATAGGTGCAGCCCTGCAATTTCTATGCTCGAGGGTTGACCATACTTCAACCATGCTGGTCCTGCACGAGGGCCGGTTGATGAATTGGGGAGTGCGGTGGGGTGGGATGGGGGGGTGTTGCAGATACCACTCGCCACAGGCTTTTTAGCCGTAGCCGGGATTTTAAATCAGGTGGAAGTTGCAGCAGGTTCGGAGCGCAGTGTGCCGTCAACTGCTGCTCCGTAGCATGTTGACCCACACGGACGTGTCTCTGCTAAGTTCACACCTGCACGTGGGCCACCATCCATGACTCCTTTGCTCCCCTGTGTCACCCCTTTGATTTTTTTTTAAATACAACTGCCATCGTCTCCTGCGAGCGTTGTAAAGTCAGTGCCGAAAATAAAAGCACCCTCCCCCCCCACACACCCACCTCTCATGATTATGCAGTCTCACTAACATCTTAGCGATGGGACCTTTTTTCAATCACTGTACCATTTCTTTTAATCGAATTATGAGATGCTCTCGAAAGACACACCCCAAAACTTGTGTTCGTTTAAAATAGTTACAAAAATCTGGTTACACACACACACCTGCGAGATGACAAGACGGACACCCAGCCGCTTTAAAAGCTTCTTACAATACACCCACTTTGATTTGCCTCTGTATACAGGATTGAATATGCGGAATAAATCTGACACTACGGGTGGCTTGCGTGTTTTTAAGACACATGCACGTGGGACATCTTGCGATTGCAGATAAATCAACAACCGATGTTTTATAACGCGCTGGTGAATGCCACGTTGGATGATCCGCTGGAACGCGGGGAGTGATTTACCGAGGTCCAAGTGGGCCCACACCCTCCCTACCCTGTGGTCCTGGCTGCTTCCAAGTTTCCAAAAGCAACTCAAAAAAATAATTCCCATAAAAAAAAGGTTTTATTTTTCAGACGGTCGTGTTACGGGCACTTCATGTTCATGGTTTACGCGTACGAACAAATTGAGGGTCAGATTGGATAATGATTCAAGATTGTGTGGACGAAGTATAATGTGGAATTACACATTACAGTGCACTTAATGTCTATAAGTGTAGTTCTGAGCGACTTTGCGTACTTTTCAGCGTTTGTTCCACATTCTTAGTACATGTCCGTTTTCTTATCCATCTCATAGCAGGTAAATATGCACTAATTACTAAGTAGAAACTTTAATTAGACACTGGCATGTTGTTTTTCATGATTAAGTGTATTAGCTCAGCTATCATACTTTTTCAACAAATAATTATGCCACTCCGCCGAGAACCGAATCACCCACAATGCACCCTATCTCATCAGAGCTTTGCTTGGATGAACGACCATCACATGCATGGCAAAATAAAGATAGTCATCTTTACAAATCTAACTTTAACACATCCCATCAGCCACGCAGCAATTGGCGAGTATATATTAACAACACCATTGCAAGGTTCTGACCCGTCCCCACAGGACATTTGTGAAAAAGAGTTGTTAGAGCTAATAGGATTCCTCCAGTATAAATAAATATTCTGATTCTCAACACAATCAAAAATCTGGACCGGTTTCGACATCCAGTGTCTCCTCAGCAGAATCAAGCTTGCTTGAATCAAATCTAGTGAACTGACAGATGTTTATAACTAAAATATGATCTTGTGTATCGGCGAGGATCATGCTTTACAGATTGTTAAAGGCTGCGGGGCTGTCTGGCAGACAGCAGAGGGCAGTGTGGAAGAACATGTTACACTGTCGGCTTGTTTAGAGGCTTCGCACCTCGATGCTATCCCATAACTGTCAACCCCCTATCAGTCAGTGCCTACCTCATTACAGACCAATTCAGACCGTATTGGTCACCTCAACGTTCATCCTACAGAGTCCCATAACAAGAGAGAAACACAAACAAATATATATTTTAAAATTGCCCGTATTGAAACGGCTGTACGCAGTAAGGACCTGAAAACGTAATTTCCCTGCACAAGACTACCGGACTAAACCGTACGGATTGACAGCTCTGCTATCCAGCAAACAATGCACGTTGGTCCAACTGATTCCAACCACGTGCCAACACTGGCCCAAAGTTGTTCGTTTGAGTGTGGTGATCGTGGCGAAAGTGTGGTCTCCACTGCGGCTGAATTCAAATGCCCTCTTCTCACAGAACGCACGGCCACCCATGAATCCCACGTGTCACTGTGCAACGGTTACCCGGGCAACGTCCGCACAACAACAAAGCGAAGCAATTGCCACTTCCACAATTCGACTTCGTTGTGCTCAACCGCACGACCGGACGAGTCGATTTTTAAGAAAATAACAGAAACGTTTAGCAAGAGCGAGGTTTAAATTGAACACGCAAATGGATCCTCCCCCCACCCCACTGCCATACAAGCGGTAGAAATAAGAAAAAGCGGTGGAATCATCATCAGTAGCGGCAGCAGTACAATTACTGCATTGACGGCATATCTGCAATCAGGTGTAGTGGCATTAACCGGCTGTAGTTAGTATCAGTAGTAGCGGCACGATCGGTAGCTGTACTAGATAGAAGCTTGCTGCTACTGCCAAGTTGGAAGAGCGTCTGGAAGATGGAAAACAAAGTGGGTCGCCACCCATGGTAAGTGAGTGTGTGAGTGAGTGTGTGAGTGAGTGGGTGAGTGGGTGAGTGAGTGGGTGAGTGAGTGAGTGGGTGAGTGGGTGAGTGAGTGGGTGAGTGAGTGGGTGAGTGAGTGGGTGAGAGAGTGGGTGAGTGAGTGAGTGGGTGAGTGAGTGGGTGAGTGAGTGAGTGAGTGAGTGGGTGAGTGAGTGGGTGGGTGAGTGAGTGAGTGGGTGAGTGGGTGGGTGTGTGGGTGGGTGGGTGAGTGGGTGAGTGAGTGAGTGGGTGAGTGAGTGGGTGAGTAAGTGGGTGGGTGAGTGAGTGAGTGAGTGGGTGAGTGAGTGGGTGAGTGAGTGGGTGGTTGAGTGAGTGGGTGAGTGAGTGAGTGGGTGAGTGAGTGGGTGAGTGGGTGAGTGAGTGGGTGGGTGAGTGAGTGGGTGGGTGAGTGGGTGAGTGAGTGGGTGGGTGAGTGAGTGAGTGGGTGAGTGGGTGAGTGAGTGGGTGGGTGAGTGAGTGGGTGGGTCAGTGGGTGAGTGAGTGGGTGGGTGAGTGGGTGAGTGGGTGAGTGAGTGGGTGAGTGAGTGGGAGAGTGGGTGAGTGAGTGGGTGAGTGAGTGGGTGAGTGAGTGGGAGAGTGAGTGGGTGAGTGGGAGAGTGAGTGGGTGAGTGAGTGGGAGAGTGAGTGGGTGGGTGAGTGAGTGGGTGGGTGGGTGAGTGAGTGAGTGGGTGAGTGAGTGAGTGGGTGAGTGAGTAGGTGAGTGAGTGAGTGGGTGAGTGAGTGGGTGAGTGAGTGGGTTAGTGGGTGGGTAGGTGAGTGAGTGAGTGGGTAGGTGGGTGGATGAGTGGGTGGGTGGGTGAGTGGGTGAGCTGTGTGTGTGAGTGACGGCTACAGAGCCCCCTTCAAAGCACTCACTCATCTTTCGGGAGGGCTGGGGGCGAGGTTTATTTCTCACAAGCTCTTGAACACAGATAAAAAGAGTCCCCGTCATAGCCTTAACAGAACCTTTGGCAGGCCAACGCGGCACACGAGGGGGTGGGGTGGCCAGCAGCACCACCTTCCGTCGACTTTGTCTCGGCAGTGCCGATGTTTATACATCGCACCAGATACTCGTTTCAGGCTGAGACGATCTAGGGGGAGGCCCATGGCCGCTTCAGAAATGCATCACCTACGTTGTCCGTGAGCGTAAATTATAGTATGAGAATGAGTGCCTAATCTTTTACAAAAAAACGACAATTTAACGAAGAAAGTAATGATCAATAGCAAGCAAACACAATGCATTTTTTTAAATAAAAGCTGGATATCAAAGCATTTTGGTCCTGAAGAAAGTCTAGAGATTCAATAAAAAAATTAATTGGTTTAAAAAGAAAATCTTCGCCACAATAATTGTAATGTTTAACGAAAATTTCAAATCTGGATTCTATAGCCTTGTGTTTATGTGCTGCTGGATGAAGGCCTCCACCTGCCTGCCCTGTGGATTGTTTTACCACATTAACGACACTGGTCATTGCAGGTTGGTGAAGGGTAACTCAAGACCGGTTCGGATATCACTTGCCACCGATGTTAGCCGTGACCGAGAATCGATCTTACATCGTCTGGTTCATAACACAGTCCGCATACCACTGTGCCACCACTCAAGCACCAAACACTGTTATCATTTATATATGTATGTACACTTTTAGATTACAACACTTCTAATGGATATCACGAAAGGCGAATGTTCTTACTCTTTGGTTCTTTCGGTAAAGTGACGTAGTTACTTACGTGCAGTCGCGAAAGCTTCAAATCAAGATTGCAAATGTTCTTCAAGATTGCAAATGTTCTTCTTCTGCTGCAGGTACAAGGAGCGCTTGCTGGCAAAGCAAATCAAGCGGGGCAAGAAGAGCGAACTTGCGGGCTCCTACGACTGCCGACAGTGGCGATTCCTCCGTCCCAACCTGGACACGGACTGGCAGGGCCTCCCCCCGGTCTTGACCACCGCAAGCCTCCTCGCGTACAACGCCGCAACACAGCACGCGGCATCATCATCCGCCCGCTCGGCCAACTCTGCAGACGACCTCGAGCCTCACCAGGTGCACGAACATCACGATGTGACCACCGCCCAAGAATCACAGGAACGCCTGGAGCCTCCTGCGAAGGTGAACGATTCCGACAAGCGCGGATCGGCTGATAAAAAGGAGCGTTTGAAGCTACCGGCTATCGATGCCGACACCGCATCGTTGGATGGTTTGCTGGTTCGCGTTGGGAGTCCGCGGGCTGAACCAGTGCTATTCAATTCCAAGAAGACGGGGCAAGGACACCGGCCAAACAAATCGTCCAGCTTCGTGGATCAGCGTCGATACCTGTCCCGGCTCACTCCGCTGCAGCAAGCGCGCCGGGCGCTCGTGGAGGAGACGGAGTGGGGCTTGCTTGAGCACCCACTCGCCCTCTACCCACACCTCCAGCAGAGCCTCGATCCGGAGGTGCAGTAACGCTCGCATCACCGTTAAAACAAAAAAATGTATCTTTTAGCGAAGCCGTATCATCATTCACTCATCCTGTATGTGCAATATCTGTCCAAAGTCAGCTTGGGCCTTCTGCTGATGCTTCCCTGCATCTGCTCTATGTTTCACCACCTAACAGCATATGTACTGCAACATTCACTCCACTGTGAATTCCTGAAGCCCTGACACACTGGGGTAATGTAGGGAATTGTTGCCAGCAATTGTTAGCACTGTTGCATTTACTAATGAGCAACTACGACAACTTGAAACGGATTGGCACGGTGACGTCCCCATGCAACAATGTGAACGGAGAATGTTGACGTGTGTTTTATGAACAAGGATTGGTTTACACAGCGCACAACATTCCTTGTAGTTGACATCCCAATCACCTACAATGGAAAGCAGCAATATCATTTGTTTCCACTAATTTCCCTCAATAGACAATTGAGTGGCAACCATCGCCGGTGACGATACCCAGCGACGATTGCCCGATGATTGCCCTAGTTTATCATCATGATCATCATCAGCCATGATCAATCCACTGCTGGCTGAAGGCCTCCCCATGCTGTCACCATCGCTCATGGCCCTGCTATGTAACCAACCACCTAACAGCCGCACGTGACCTGATTTTGTCATTCCATCTCTGTGCGTGTTTGTGTATAAGGGCCCATATTGATGAGCATCATGGTAATGTGTTCGTTTTATCGTGGCCATGTAGATGTTTGAAGAGGTGGTGAATTTGCTGGACCCAGAGATGCGGCGCTTTGAGGCATCTCTGCAGGAGGATGTGGAGCCACCTCCTGTCGAGCAGGAGGATGAGGAAGACATGGATACTGCAAATGGAGAGGCCACCGAACCCTATCCAATAGAGGGTCGGCCAACCACCATCTCATCCACGTGAGTACACAAACTCATTCTTGATAACTCACAAACGTAAATGCTAATTTACTATCGATTTCTAACCCAAGGTCATTAATGGTGGAATTTTAACGAGGACAAGAAGTGTTCACGACCACACAGAGGCAGTCGATCATCGGCAGAGGATACAAGAAATGTCTTAAATCTGGACCTGAATGAGCAGGGAGCCAACAGCACACATGGCTGGAGGAAAGGGCCTTCCAGACCTTTGGGCAGCAGTGGCGAATGAAATACCACCCATAGAGTGGAGGTCAACAGAAGGCCTTGGTTGTTTGATCAGAGAGTACTTGGAGGTGAGTAGAGTGAGATGAGAGAGGGGAGGGTAGGCAGAGACGGGTTCATGTAGGATTCATGACTTTGGTGATGGATTTCTTGACATTTGTCTGGGACTAGATTGGGAGCCAATGGAGAGACTGGTGTATGAGGGTGACATAGTCTGAATTTCGATTCAAAGCTTTCGTGACTGCAGGGATTCATATTCTTGGTTCTTTCGGTAAAGTTACGTAGAAGGGAAATAATAAAATAATAAAAATAAAACATAAAATAAAATTCTCACGACGTTTCGGCCACAACGCAAGCAGCCGTCCTCAGGTGAAGCAACAGAGCTGTCGGAAAGACAGCGTCGTGAGAATTCTATTTTATTATGCTTTATTTTTATTATTGTATTATTTCCCTTCTACGTGACTTTACCGAAAGAACCAAGAATATGACATAGTCTGCTTTGGTAGTCAATGTTTGTGGTGCTGTTGTTAGTCGAGAGGGCAGGCACCAGAACCCATACCGCTGGCTTCCCAAGGTGGAGGGCAGCAGCAAGGAGGACAGGAGAGGCCGACGGAAACTTCCGAGTGGCTCCTCGCAAGACGAGGACCTCAAGCGCGTCACCCACGACTTCTGCGACTGGGTCGCCTCACTGGTGAGGGCCTGGTTATTTTCACTGACGCACTAACCCAGTGCTCTTCGTTGCAAGGCCCGTGGGCCACTGGCGGCCCCTCGTGGCCTTTAGTGGGGCCTCCGACAAGACACATACGTGAAAACACCCCATTACGCGGTGCTGTCAAATCCAATGGTTTCAAATGTGTGGCGGCCCGTCACACTGATGATGTCTTATCGTCGAAAGTGACACCCCTCTGCAAATTAGTGAAGAGCACTGTACCATTAATTCTGTACCAACCTGATTGAAAGAAATAGAGAATATTCATTAATTCAACGCTGTGGAATAATATTATGCAATGCCTAACTTCAAAGGAGAATATGAATACACAGAAGGTGGCTTAGAATATGAATACTTATGGCAACACGCTCACCATGCAACAAGGCGCACATTTTGACTACAGTAAGACATTCTCAATAATAATCATCATCATCATCATAAAATGTCCCCACCACTGCAGTAGGCTGAAGTCGGAGCAGAACCCACGGAGGAAAGGGGGGAATGGGATGGATATTTATGTATACAGCTCAAATTACAGCCGGCACGACGATCAGCACATTCCAAAAGCTGGTTTCCAGATAGTGTGCAAAATAGCATTTGCCAGGCTCAGGTGGAAGTAGGGTGACACGGGGGGTGTGGATTAAGAGTCAGTTTTGTTTACAGGCATATTTTGTTCATCTCTGCGTGTGTGCAATTGTGTGTGTACTTAGCGGTCAGCGCTACACTGCGCTACGAACCCGGCGACCCGAGTTCGATTCCCGCTCACTGCCAACACCCAGTGACGATTATCTGAACCGGTCCTGGGCCTCCCCTAGGTCGACTCAGCCTCAAATGATTACCTGGTGTGGTGTGTAAACATGACCACTGGGGATCCAAAGGTGGCCAGGCGTGTTGCTGGACATCCAACCATGTAGGTGTGCCATGCTGTGCTTCACAAGTGCTCACTAACAGCATTTGCCTTTACAGTTTGTTAAAGGCTATACTGTATAAAGAAAAGTTTATATTTGGAGCGACGGCGCACTGCTCTCTGAACCCAGTAACCAAAGTTTGATTCCGGGCACAGACAACAACGTTGGCAAATATCTAAACCGGTCCTGGGTATCCCCAAGGATCAGTGGTGGCATGTAAAAAAACTACACCCCCATGTATGCCCCTCTGGCTCTAACAAATGCTCACCAACAGCACTTGCTCCTACACTCTACCTCGACCACAGGGGTATCTTATCTCCGTGTGCGTGCATCCTAAAAGCACCAACCAATGCACGCGCGTCGGAACTTCTTTCGCACTGCACGTGGCCCACCATGCCAACCGGAGGCACCCATCGTGTTTGCGTTTGTGCCGAGGCCAGGGCGGGGAGGACGACGTGATCGAAGAGTCCACCCTGATGAGCCTCTTTGCGAGTGGCTACGAGACCAAGCCCCCGCTCACCGTGCCCATCCACGTGGTGGAGCTCGCCAACGTGCCCCCTGAGCTGCGCTCGGCGGCTGGAGCCACCCCGGACAGCGCTTCCTCCGCCAATGCCAACGGCACCTTCGCCCACAAGACCGGTGCAGGGCCCCGGGTACGCGATCGACAGCACCCACCTTGGCATGCCATTGCGTACGAGATGCGCGGAGCCGTTGCACGGTAGTGCAGCAACGAGAGATGCACGCTTGCTTGTGACTACTTCTTATTTTTCTTTCTTCCTTTTTCCCCCCACTCCTGTGGGGTCTGCCTTCCTGGTCCTCTTCCCTTATGCAATCACTCCTGTCCAAGGCCATCATCTCCACATCCACTCAGCAATCGTTCATAACCTGGCTCACCACTTCAAACCACCTCTCTCCACCCTGGTGCTTCCATGTTAATCGTCACGTGGTTTCCCTTTGTTCTTGCGACATGTCCGAGTTATCGGAGTCGACTTAATTTCAGCTTGTCCGAGATGGAAAACCACGACCAATTTGCAAGTCACAATGCAAAAATGCATACTTTTTTTGTCATTGTGATGAATGTATCGTGGTTGCATATTTACATTAGCCAATCACATTCACCATATACAAATTAATGAAAGCAGATTTGTATATACACATTTTCATGCATGTATTGCAAGTGATGAATTAATGCATTATTACAATTCCGAGTAAGTAAATATGCGCGTTTGGCACGTTTTTTATTTACACCAGTAAAGTCATACTTGCTCACATGTTGACAAATCTGTTACAATTGAATTTTAACGTTGTCGACTTGTGATGACATAACATAGTTGTTACAACTGATGCTTGCCAACGCTAATGCACCTTACATAGTACATAATGAGTGAACCATTACAGACTGAACCGGCCGGTTATAGTTTAGGTAAATGTCGATTTTCTTATCTTAACGTTATTTATATAGCGCCTTAACCAAGACGCTTTAACCAAGGCACATTACAGAAAATTAAGAATGGGACAATATTTTGTATCAAAAACCTCAACATGTTCGTCAATAACACTACCTTAAAATGAAAAAACATAATAGGCTATGATGGAAAGGCCATTGGCTGAAACGTCTCCTATATATATATAACACTATAGCTGACCAGTTAAGTTTTTTTTTATTTGTGCTTGTGCACCACGGCCAACCAAAGTATCACCAAATAATATATGTACCGTTTTGTGTGGCCTGGACTTCACCATCAGCCACAAAGTGGGAGGATGTGCTACGGGGCCTGGTATCTGCCACCTGCCACTTGGAAGAAAAAGCCTCAAAATGAGCCTCTGGAGGACCCGAACGTTGTCCAGGAGAGAGAGGCTTCTGAAGCCAAGAAGAGAGCTACTGCCATTGTAAGACTTTGAATCGCAAACATATTTTAGTCTTCGTGTCCATCTGAGAAAGCCGGCTATGACATAATTGTGTGGGTTCCTAGAAAAAATTGTAAAAACGAATATCACTTTAAATATTTAATTCTGAGAACTTTAATTTCATGAAAATTACCTGTGCCATTTTTCATACCAGCGACAGTTAATGCTTTCCAATGTTTTCCTTCGATTTGCCCAATCCATCCTTATCTCAAAGCAACTATTTATACATTCATATCATTGCAATGCAGCGGTCACAGCCCAAATTCAAAGCTGCCTAACTTTGGAGAGGTATTTGTCGCGGACGTTGCATCAAAACGCGCGGCACCACTAAAGCGGAGCAGCCACGCATTGACCTAAAGCGCTGTGAAAGCTGCCAGTAACAGCTCACTCGCTTGTCTTTACAGGACACGCAGCTGCTGCACTTGCACGGGGCTCTGGCATTCCGCAAGTTTGTGGACGAAAAGGGAGCACGTCGGCCACAGGTAAGACTTTTTCATAAAGTACTCATAAACGTAAGATTTAATGGTATAAGATTTAATTGTGGGTATGCGTGTACATAGTACAGCCCTTTGTCAATCCACCACTAGATGAAGGCCTCCCTCACACCATGCCGGTTATGGGGTTTGTTTGACCATACTTCACCACACTGGTCAGTACTGGTTGGTGCTATCCGAACCAGGACCGGTTCGGATAGCACTTGCCACTCGATGCAAGCCGTGTCTGGAAATCAAACGCAGGTTACAGAGGTCAGTGCAGTGTGCTAGCCACTGCACCGCCACTCCACCCCAACAATGTATGCACTGATAATACCCACATACCCATTAGACTGGCATAAAAAAAATTGAGGCATGAGAATTCAGTTCTAATGAATTTCTACAGAAATTCCCGACAACCAGCTGTCCATGCCGTGGACTCCCTGCCTATTAAAGTCCATGCTGAAGACCTTCCTTTTTTTCCTTTGTCTCTGACCACCTATCTGTAAATCAAATATGCCCTCCATTCCTGTCGAGTGTTTTGAAATGCGGCCACATTAAAACGCCGTTTAAATCCACACATTGCAGTATATTCATGAGCACACATGGTTGTTTATTCCTTGGGGGGTGAAGCGTGGCTGGGATGTCACAATCCAAGTCTCGCCAGGCCACAATGCTACTTCGGGCAAAATATTGTGCGCCAAGTACTTGGTTAACTTTGTAATTGTTTCCGTTATTCTGGAATACTTAAAAATGTCATTTTCTACCAACATCACGATCCAAGTATACACCAATGATCAATCAAACCTCTTTTACCTCCACGTTTAAATTTGAATTTGTATTTTAAATTTACAAGACACCCACAACCCTGCAAAACGGTATTTTTACAATGCAGACAATGTAATATTTAAACCATTTTTCACAAATAGCAGCAAGTATGTCCAGAACAAGGTTTCCGGCCGAATGCTTTGCAGGGGTTGGGCTCACTGTTCCTTTTCTGGTTTCAGTTCCTGGAGCACGTGTCCATGGAGCTCTCTGAGGAGGATGGGAGAGAGCAGACCTCTGCTGGCAAGCCCAGGAAGCGCCAGACTGTGGAAAAGGGACGCCAGTCATCCGCATCCACCGCTGCAGAATCCGTCCTCAATTAAAATCCAAGCGGCATCTGCCAATAATCAACATAGACGTTTCACACGTCACTTCCCACCGTGATTTGGATTAACACTGGAAACATATTAAGCCTATCTTTTTATACTGTAATTGTTTTTTTACACGGTTATTTTTCTAATGGGGTAGAGTGGTGGTGCAGTGGCTCACACACGGCGGCCTAAATCCAACGGCGTAAGTTACAATCCTGACCGTGACGAACATCAGTGGCGAGAGATGGTCTTGGGCACCCCAACCCTCGTGACGAACTCTTACAGACGAGCTTGAAGTATGGTCAATCAATCCCCCTGACCGACACAGAATGGGGAGGATTTCATCCAGCCACGGATTATCAAAAGGCTATGAATTGATATTTTTTTGTTTAATCTAACAGTTAATATAACGTGTAGCACAAGTGATTCCGTACCTGGAACATTTGGTGATCAGGTAACCTGCCATCAAGTGGCCTTGATGACGTTCACACATTTATACCACCTCTGCACCGTCACAAATGTGTTATTGTTTTGCATCACATATCGCTTGTCAACAAAAAACACAGCGCACAAAGACCACAATGATTGTGAACGTAAACATTTATTATGCAAAACAAAGCAACAGTGAGTGTAGAAAATCAACCTGAGATCGAAAATGATGGCCAAATACACGCAAGCCAAACACAATGAAATATACTGGAGTGAAATAAAGACACCGCGTAGATTGTAACAATGTAAAGGTTTCAAACATAATTCAGTTGTCACAACTGTAGAACATGTGCCAAGAATCAATATTGTTTCTTTTTTAATGGTGTTGCCATCAAGCACTAAGAGCCCAAGTACAACCTTTAACTCCATCAAATAAATATAATACCGTTCTCTTTGCATAATAAGAAAACTAATTCTGTCAATTTAAGATTTTTCTAAATTGACCCTGAATTCATCATTTCACTTTTTTCCAAGACTGAAATATTTTTCAAATATTTTCCAGTTGAAAAATAAAATATAAACTCTGAAAATGTGTTTATGGCACCAAAATACCTGTGCAACAGGAAATATATATATATGGTGTATGTAACAGCGAGTGCCACTTACATATTGAGATATACTGTTAATTTGCAGTATAAAAAAATATCGCCATAAAATTTAGTATTTATATATTTTAACCAAACACACATCTTTACTGTACTCACATTTTTTTATATGCTATATTATTTCAATTGAAACCATTGCATAATCTGAGCTTACATTGTAAATGTTAATAAGAAAGCTAAAGAAGCACCACCATCAATTCGATCAGTAAACATTTATAATTTCTTGTGCTTTCAATTCAATTTCCCTACGGTGCAGTGAATGTAAAATTGGGCAGTAGCAGCAACCTTGGCATTGAAGGACAAGTTGTAGACCGAGAATGGTACGTGGGTATTTAAGATAACAATGACTAAAACTGTCCACAATGAAGCATCGCCTATGGAGATATCTAACATGTTTAAATTTACCGTACATGTGAGCAACCTTCCACAGTGGTATTTTTGGTCCTGGAAAGACTAGCTCCATCCTCACTTCCTGTGCATAATTCAAGTAGAGTATTGGTATGTGCCCTCAAAGTGTATTCTCATTACCTCTCATGTACAGTAAATTTGGCTGCAGTAACACAAACGTACGGGTATTCTCTCTATGCCAAGAACACATGAGAGGCAATTCATGCAAATTCCAGTTAAGCAGCTTAACATTCTGCAACGTAAAGCATTTCTTTACACAAGCGCACACAAAACACAGACAGTAAAATGGCACACTTTTTTTGGCATACACCGCAAGTAAAAATCACATCACCATGACAAAAAGGTTGCTTGGAATACAGCTATACACGCAAACATTGCAAAAGCAAGTCAAGTGGAAACAGTTCAACTTTCCCATCTGATGATGACGATGAGGCCAACGTCCCGCGGGGCAGCAGGAGTAAGCCTTGACCAGGGCCCAGCAAGCCTCTCATGTCAGAGTTTCCCCTTTGGTCACCTGCACAAACGAACCGAGTTCAAACGAAAAGCATGGCTCCAAAAGACCACAATCAGATTTGATTCTTTTGTGGATGTCGGCAGCCTTCACGCGGCCCACTCTAAGTGAGAAATCGTGACGAATGCTATAAACGCAGCGACCGAACATCGAGTTATCGATCTCCCGGTCTCCAGAGCAACAACACAAATCAGATAATCCCAGCGAAGTGACTCCAAAAAAGAATTAGGGAGAAGTACTCACCCTAGCTTCGATGTACTCGATCCTGCGTTCCAACGCGGTGAGCTTCTCGTTGAGGGTTGCCAACCGCGATCGGCATGACATATCTACAAACACAACAGTAAACTTCTCAATCTCACGTGAAATTCTAGACAATTGGCTACGAATGGTGCGAAAGAAGTTCATCATACACACATTGCTGTAACTTGTCAGTTGCATGATTTTGGGCATACAGTTCGGATGCTTCTTCTTGGTTCTTTCGGTAAAGTCACGAAAGAACCAAGAAGATGAATCCCTGCAGTCACGAAAGCTTTAAATCGAAAAAGTTCGGATGCTATTTAAAAAAGTGGGTCATCATTTACAATAGAATATGGCTATCGGCACAGCTTATATAAGTATAGCTATACTATAAGCAAAACGTGCTTCAATTACACTGGTAATTTAAGCTCACTCCACTTTGGATATTAGCACACCTGGGCTTGCTCCAAATGGCTGTGCTTATTGGGATAAACCGAGGTTTCGTTAGAGCTGGTTTAGCAAAGCAGGTCATGGGCAAACAGGGCCTGATGTTTGGTTCGCTTCACTCAGGTTGGAGTTTCTGATACGTCAGTGACCAGGTCAAGCATTCCTATTATTACTCTGATTAGTTGTCGGCCAGATATGAGGAGTTGCTAGGTCTGGTCTGGGCGTGTCAGGGGCCTGACTCGGGCAGACGAATTCGCTGTTGGATAGGCACGGATGGGTCACCGCTCCATGAATTCTAGGGTCGTCCCCAAAGAGCCGCTGGGCAACCACAACAAAACAGACAACGTCCTTCTTCCCCTTACGAGATCTCTGCATCCACACCAGAGGTCGCAACCGGGTACCCGATACCCGTACCCTACCCGATACCCGGCTACCCGTACCCGGTCGGGTAAGGGTAGCCGTTTGCGACCCTGGTGCGGCTGGGTACGGGTAGGTCGTGAGTCACTAGTGAGTCACTGGTGAGTCACCGTTTGTCACTCATTTCGGGTAGGGTAGGGAACGGGTACCCGTAACCGGCCAGGTATGGGTAACCATTTGCAACCCTGGTGCGGCCGGGTACGGGTACGGAATCAAAACCCGTTTGCGACCTCTGATCCACACGCACGCAGAGAGACACAGGGATGTGGTCACATGTTCAATGTGCCCCCCCGAAACCCACAAATGACAAACCTGTCAACCCTTTATCAGTGCCCTACATTATTACTGACCAATGCAGACATTATTGGTCACCCACGTGCCCCTTATACATCTCAACGTTCATCCTACAAAGTCCCATCACAAGGGATGGGCCGATGGGCCTGAAAACTCAAATTCCCTGTACAAGAATTCGGGGCAAACCGCATGGGATGATTGACAGGTGCGAAATGAGAATAGTTTTGTTTTAATTGTCGTCGGAGCTTCATGGCAACCGCTCCACGTCCAAGCCAAGATGAGGGCCTGACTCTAGCAGCTGTATTCATCCACAACAAGGACAACAACAAGATCACCCCGCTGGTTCTACACGAGCCCAAGTCACGAACCTCACCATTCTCATGTGCGCAGAGAGCGGCGGCGTCAACGTATTCGTCGCGACGACGGTAAAACCACCACCGGTGAACATTCACACGCCCAACCCAGCCAACCCACCCGGTAGAAATGTCCCCCGGCAGCTGTCCGTGAACTCTGAAGCCTTTCTAGAGCTCATTGTTGGGGCTTCAAGGGTCTTCAAGCGACATTGGCGAGCACCGATCACGGGTAGGGGACGTGGTCAGAGGAGCCACGCCCGTTAGCAAGACAAAGATCCCCCGGGTAGCCTGTACCGGAGTGTTGGGGCAAGTGCTGTTCGTGGCCAGTAGCAGCACCAATGAAAGGGAGGGGGTGGTAGGCAAGGCACACGAGGGAGGGGGGTGTGGGTGGCCAGCAGTAACCACGCCCGGCCGCCTTTGTCTCCCCTCGTTCGAATCACGTTACACCTCCCCCCCTCCTCCTCCAGCACCACCACACAGTCACGAACCATTTCGGTCGTGTGGACGCGATTCGCTCACCGAATGAATTCAAGAAGTCGGCGATCTTCTTAATGCTGCTGGTGATCACCTCGATGTACTCCCTGTTGGCCCAGTCCTGGTGAATTTGCCTCTGCACCTCGTCGTTCTGTGCGGCCATGGCGAGACGGCGGATTTGTGTGTTCACTGAACAATCGGCCAGCCACAGACACACACACGCCTCTCTTGCCAGCCACAGACACACACACACACCGAGCACTGACCCCCCCTCTCTCTCCCGCACTGTCAAGCCTTCCTTCCTTCCTGTCGTAGTTTCCTTCCTACCTCCCCCACCAATCATCACACGAGCCATGCAATTGGGGGGTGAGTTTATTTCACGGCATGAGCCACCAGGAGGCAGCACAGGACAAGTTTACGGAGGCTAAAGGAAGCTATGAAACTATTTGTTTTCATTTGAGCAGATACATCCCACTGAGCTACATCGCTCTTTTTTCAGAAGCGACCTGGTCACAAATGTTAGCTCAACGAAGTGGCTTGCCACGTGGAAAATTACAGCAGCAGCAGCAGCCAAAACACTCTAAACGCGCAGGGAAAAAAAACCGGAGGACATGGAGAAGAATCTATACGACCACGGGGAGAGAGAACACACCAACTCCAATTATACATTCTAGATTTGAAGCTTTCGTGACTGCAAGGATTCATATTCTTGGGTTTTTTCGGTAAAGTCACGTAGGTAAAAAATAAAAATTAATAAAAGTAAAATAAAAATAAAATCACGACGTTTCGGAGGCAACACAAGCTTCCGTCTTCAGGTGGAACCGTCACAGTACGCTTGCTGTATCAAGTAAATGAGAAATTCCAAGAGATCCGACCCCGTATATATACTGGTTGAGGGGGGAGCAGCCAGGACAGGCCCCCTTTTCATTATTATTAATTATACAGGCGTCAGGGTTCGGGATCGAACCACGGCCTCCTTACATACCAGGCGAAGTTGTTATAAACGCATCTCACAACCGCGACACTCATCCACATCTCGGCGATCGAACAGGCCAGCTGCTCAAGTTCGACAAGAACAGCGATGATTTAAAGTGAACATTGTCATTTTAGTTTTTTGGTGATTGGTCAGCTAAACAAAAACCGCAATATATTTGTCAATAACACTACCTTAAAAGGAAACAAGTATATAATGGGTCATGTTTTGGAAAATGTTCCTTTTTCATATGTGTTATGAAGAAAGAAGTCATATGCTATGAAGAAGGGCCATTACACAAAACGCTGCCCATTGTGGTAGACATCTTTCCTTTCATGGCGGTGTTATTGAGATGTTTTATGTGGATACAATCCAGCCAAATACAATGTTAAGGTTTTCCTCAATTGACTGCTGTCTCATCGGTAAAATATCTTTAAACGTACGTTTTTAGTCAGGCTCGTAAATGTAGTCTCTGGTGGGTGGTAGCCGTAGTCACCTTTGATTTTCACCAATGACTCACACTGCGCACGTAAACACAGATCGTGTTAAATTTCATATTCAAAATTTATTTTCCATTCTCTAGATTTTTCCGGTTTTTATTCGGGTTTTATTATTTGTTCTACCTCTGAGGATTAAAACATTGTGGTTCATTGCCTTGCGACAAAACATTTAAAGAAGGACCCAGACGAGATGTTATAAGACTCAATGGGGCTTCATGGTTAAACAAATTGAACTATTATTAGGGTTAGTAAGAGGCAATTGAAGGTGCAGTATCTCAAATACCTGTAAAAGATAAAGGTGCAGCCCTGCAATTACTCTCTAAAGCCACTGCTAATGAATGAGCCTCCACTATCTGAAGCTATAAAGAGCTTATTTTGATGTAAATGTGGCTTACTCTTCCGTACGAGCTAAACATATTGAAGAGGTGTGCAGTACCCACATTTTACCTCACCACACGTGGCATGTAGATGGATTAACTGGCCTATTTATACTACTGGATGGACAGAGGCACGGCGATTTTTTTTAAGTAAAAAAAACCTTGCACCTTTGTTTCAACGGCCACGCCAGGAAAATTAACCGACAACATCTGGCCTGAAAGTCCAGCGTGCTAACCACTGCACCACAACATCAGCTTCCATTAACTGTAGTTCTGCGAAATAATCTTGCAGAACCCATCTGCTCACATGGGGTGAATCCTACGCCGCTTTAAGCCAGATTTCCAAATGGAACATTCTTAATGACTTGACGGCAATTAAATAAATTGGAATGCATTTGGAAAACAAAGAGGCGCTTTAAAGTGGCGAACCAGCATATAAAAAAACGTGTGGAATGGGCGTGGGAGATTATCTAGAACACGAGGAGATGATTATTAAGGAAGGAAAGATGGGGTGGTAAAATGCCAATTAGAGGGATTGATATTCTTGGGTCTTTCGGTAAAGTCACGTAGATAGGTTAAAAGAAAATAACAAAAAATAACCTATCTACGTGACTTTACCGAAAGACCCAAGATTATGAATTCCTGCAGTCACGAAAGATTTAAGTTAAAGGGATTGATGTAAGCTCTCAATTCTTGTACGCCGCCTGCTGTCCCTTATTTGAAACTACAATATAACATTTGACGTAAAGCAGTACCGTACATCCTTTATTCAATCTGCGCTGTATAATGCTAAAATGTGACAGTTAAGAATTGCATATATAAACTACAACAACTGATCCTTAAGGCAGTACCCAGGGGTACCAAATAATACAACATGGTCCAGGCAATTAAAGACTTTATTTCAGGGACACTTTTTTGTTCCAGGGGTGTACTTAACTCCGGGACTGGGGTACCAATCAATCCGAAATCGGTGCGATTTCGCGATGTCGAAACGCAGCGAGGACGATTGTGCTGAAACCCTGAACGCTCGTACGCACCGTAGTGGTGAATCGTGTCCAGCTCGTCGAGATGAGTTGATAGCCGCATCGCCGACCATCAACAGACTAAAAATGACTGCATCAAGGACATTGTGCGAGAGCCGGGATACTATGGTTTGCCTAGGGTACCGCTATAAGGTTCAACTAACCACCATTCATTGACATTGTCCAAATGATGGTGATGAATGTGTGTGACTTGTGTCAATAGAGTATGTTTGTTATGATACAGTACTGTACAGAAATTGCACACCTTTTCCACAATGACCGTTTGTGCATGCAAGGAAGTGCTGCACATACATTTAAGACATACATGTACATATGCAGCACTTTCATTGGTCCACTGCTATATGAGGGCCTCCACGTGCGGGCCGTTGGTGTTATTTGACCATACTTCCCCACACTGGTCAGTGTGGGTTGAGTTAAGGCATGGAGCACAGATGGAGCCTAGTATAGGACAAGCATGGATGTGATGCAGTGCCCCCTGCTGCATACGACAGCCGCTAATTGTATTTAAAACCAGCACGAACTTAATTTATAACCAAGCGAGATGTTAAAAATTATATCCGTGAATAGAATTTCAACTGATAATAGGTTTTCCCCTTTTTTATGGCAACAAAACAGGTGTTAAGATGTTAAAACGCCAAACTGAAACTTTTTACAAGGAATCATGTCTGCATTAACCACAATGCTTGTGGTCAGAATGCAAAGAAAAAAACATACTCTGATAATATATGCATTGTCCTTGAAACTGATTGGTCCACACCAGAGACAGCTTTCTTTATTTTCAACTGTTTATATTAAAATTAATCAGTGACGCATAATTCCAAGCGCTCCCGATGTGATCGTTATGGCTTTCCCCCACCGCCAGTATTATTCATACGCAACAAATACCGTGTAGGCTCTTGCACCAGACAATTGCTCAGATAAAATGTACAAATGATAGATTTTTCAGAATACAATTTCACAGATATGATTCTGAGAAATGCAACTTGGCAGGCTGATACACCAGGAATAAAGAGGTATTTGATTTTATTTCAGAACCAGAGGTGGGAAGGTTGGCAGACGTGCTTCAAGCTATCATTTCACGGCTGTCATGTCTGTCACGAGTCTGAATTTATATGCATGCACAATTTCTTACCTTCGTGGGGGTTTTTTTTTTCTTTCAAATTTGTTGTGGAAGATTGGCTTCGTATTTTCTATAAATGTTGCAACCGGTGGAAGCTGCTGGTGGTCCAACCAACAGGGTCTCGTAATTGTTGCTGAGCAGAATGTGGATCGTTCTGATGTCCCCCCCCCCCCCCCCCCCCCATTATAAGAGATGAGTCTTCATGCAAGGCATACATCAGTCTGAGAACATCGCCTTTGAGCCATGATGCTCATGAATATAAAAAAACCACTTACATCCGTTTGGCAATTCACTCCTGGAGCCAGGTCTCCAGCAGTGAATTTCTTAAATTTCTATCTTCACTGTACTTGTTTCTTTCATTTCCTGCTGGCGAACCGTCTTAGTTCCCTCCAATAATATATATTTGCATTTTTTCGATGTGCATGCATTTGTGCAGTTTTTGCACATCAGGTCGCATGTAGAATGTTTATCAATCCAAAAAGTGTTGTATTAAGAGGTATGTTAATTAATTGAACGGCACATGGCAAGACCTAGGCAGAGCCAATTGGTTATGGAAGCATATGTGCACTAACTATATACAGTATATATCTACACAAAATTTGAGCTTATAATTTGCACAAAAGTTGCATTCCAGCCAAACACCCATCACTGGTGGTCTCCCAGATGGTAACATGACAATTAACATGACAATGCAAAGCAATGCCATGTTACTTGCCAGCTAAATGACACTAATTAGCCAAAACAATACACAAACAATAAACTCACTCGAGTGCCTTCTGTGTGTAGCTCCACATTTCATATCTAATGCATGAAGGAATATTGCTGGCATGTGCTCTTGCGCAAAACAAAGATCCCCCGTATAGCCCTAACAGACTGTTGGGGCAAGTGCTGTTAGTGAGCACCTATGAAGGCCAGAACGGCACACGAGGGGTGAGTGGGCCAGCCGCCTTTGCCTCGCTAGTTGCAATGTTTGTACACACCATACCAGGTACTCATTTGATGCTGAGTCCACCTAGGGGAGTCCCAGGACCAGTTCAGATAATCGTCACTGATGTTGGCCGTGATCGGGAATCGAACACGGGTCGTCAGGTTTGTAGCGCAGCGCACTAACCACTACACTACCGCTTCCCCTTGTGTACACACACACACACACACTTGTGTGTGTACGCTGGAACAGCTGCAGGTGTGTACGTTGGCGCCAAGAGCCATACAGGTACATAAACTACTGTTGTTCACCGTGCCTCGCATAACGAGTGACGATCTGGCATGCATGGCCAGGGCCCAGGAGGTTGGTAAGACATTGAGTCTGAGCATGGGCAAAATGGGGTTTGGATTGGTGGATTGCCAGACCGTGCGTGGATTGAGCATGAAGAACGTTTTTAAGCGGCCAGTATCATATTATTATTATAAAGCACAGCGCACTAGGTTGGCCCGGTGTATTTTAAACTGTGCATTAATGGCAAGAATCCAAGGCACTTCCAAACGGATTTATTTATTTATTTGCTTCAAGCGGCGGTATGTATAAATATTCTGCTTTTTATTTAAGGGCTGAAAGGCATTCAAACCAAACTAACTTGGAGTAAACCGAAACAAAATGCTGGAGCGTGCCCAGCATTACACAGATGTTTGCAAGGGACCTATAAAATATCCATTATGAAGTTCCAGTACGTTTCTTACAAACAGACCTGCCTTTGGAAGAGTCCGTTCAAACAAACATTAAAAAGCCAGCCACTTTGCAAAACGTTATAAAAACAATTCACTTCGTTTTTAGGCATAAACAATATACCACGGTTATATATCTCCCCGATCAATACTACTCAAAAATATTATTTTATTTTGTATCAAAACTGTATTGTCATTTACAGCCATTTGCCAGTTCAGTTGTCGACCATACTTCACCAGTGAGCGTTTTCCAGATTTTACAGTCACCAGTCTCCAGAAAGTACTGCATTCTGTGCAGCAGAACAAATCATTTTGCTTAATTAATTTTTCAACGCACTTGAATTGATTTTCACGGCTGCCTGCGCCTGCTTGGCAGTCAACGTGACTGGTAAAAAAAAAATCGAAATCCCCCTCAACAAAATTTATGGCCATTTCCTTACAACTTCCTAGAAATGCCGTAATAATGTTACTGCCGGTTGATGTGCTGTATCATATCTCACGGTACCACAGCACTACTTGAGCCACAGCTGGAGCAGAGAATTTTTAAATCAACAAATGAGCTCGTCATGTGGAATCAGATGGAACAATAAAATGCATCCTTAAAGTGATAATTTTGACGAATTAAAATTGATGAAACATAATTAGTAGAAGCTAAAAAGTTGAACGGCCATATCAACAAAGGTTCCTTTGCAAGTGAGCAAAACGTTTTTTTTTTGCTAAACTTTAATTACCCAGCAGCACTTTGCCAAAAAAACAAATGCTTCATGGCAAAGTGAGGCAATTTTTGAAAGTGTGCATTTGTCAAGATACACATGCTCATCTGGATGAGTGATTGTGCATTTCCTGCAGTGCAGCTGTTCAGGGCTTGGGCAAGGTCAAGCCAGACAGAGAGCCTGTACCCTAGGCCAGCAGACAGGCCAAGGGAGGCAGGCGAACCGGTGTGCGCTGCATGGCATTACTCTGTTAAGAACAGTGCGACAACTTCAGAAGTGATGTCGCGTGCAGAATCTCGCAGCCGTTCACGCTCCCCATTGAGAAACCGCGGAAGACAAGTATATAGGGCACGCTCTCGTCGTTCTCGTGCGCGCAACCTCCAGGGCATAATTCTACACTGCTAATCTATTATTACATTATTTACGGTGTTTTCAATTATAATTTCATGCGTTCATTTCTTTGGATGAAACGTACCTGTCTTTGTTGAACAGGGGAACGCCTTTGAGCTACGTGCAGGTCTCATGAAAGGCGACACTGTGCTCTCTTTAATGGGGAAAAGTTGAATAATTGCACGCAAATTTCCATACGAATGTTGCCAATTTTTTGGGTACATAATGGCCTACTCTGACTGCTCCAGGCTGCCATGTCAGACAGGCATGGCCAGTGTCTGAATGGTCTAATAGGTAACATTTAAACGCCATAAAGTTGGCCCAAAACTTCATATTATTATTTTCTTAAAGCATTCCACATATGATTTATATAGCAGTTCCACCTTCGTCGGCCGCTTTTTGGTCTCAAGTAACCAGCTCCTATTCATATTTGTCTTCAGTTAAAAAATTAAATATTTGTTTTCGTCACTTCGCGTGTGCGAGCTGCCCTCTGTGGTCCTCTATCCTTCGTTCTGCTGCTTTGAAGTTGCTTCAAAAAGGCCACTTTTAACACTTGTCTCAACACACAGGCGCTTTACACCTGTGCGATTAAATCTCGGGGTGGGAGCTGTGGCCCAGTGGATTAAGGCACTGCTAACAAACATTTAGGGAGAGGTGAACATTTTCTTCGAACAATTTATTAAAAAGTACACGTACATGAGGAACTATAGAAATGTGTTTGAGTGGTGTAACGGCGGTGAGCGCACTGCGCTAGGAACCTGCCGACCAGATTTAAATCCCGGGCGAGAACTAAATTAGCGAGGAATGGTATCGGAAACAGTTCTGGGTACCGCCTCTTCACCAACTCGAACTACTGACCAGTGTGGTGAAGTATGATCGCACAATTCCCATGACTGAAATGACGTGGGAAGGCCTTCATCCAGCAGTGGATTGACAAAGTGCTGTAAAGTATATATCATCTCATACTATAATGGAGCAAGTGTGAGTATGTCTGTAAATCTATAATTGAGGTGCATTATTACATTGGTAGCAAATTTCCTGTACTTTTGTATTGCCCTGATACATACGTACTTAAAGTTTGTGTATATTGATTGGCATTTGTATGAACGAATGAAAACAAATAATGTTAGTTTCACAACTATGAGCCATGAGCACTTTTAAGCCTCTTGGGATTAGAAAGTTTCCAGCCTCCCCTTGGGCCTAGCCTAGCCCTGAAGATTGAGTTCGGCTATAAGGCTCATTTGCTTAAGACCAAATCATCATAAAGGTGCCAGATTTGAACAGACACCACAAGATAAGCAGAGCTGAGCCTGATTATTATTGCTTGGGAGACTACCTGGAACTTCCTGATTTTGTAGGCACGAGGCTGGGGGTTGCGAGGTGGTCAGGAGATGGCATACCATCCATAGGCTCAGTTCACACATTGCATGTATTTGGTCCGTCTTGTGGTTTGAATCTAGTCGTGCGGAGATTTGTGTTTTATTTACTCCTATGCGTGTTTTTTTTTCCTTCTCAATACTCTGGTTCCCTCCCACATGAAGTTGCTCATCAATGGAATTGGCCAACTGTTTCAATGCATGACCTTTTTGAAAAAAGGTCTTGAGACTCAATGAGGATTCCCTGGGTAAATAATCATTTAATTTGTTTATGTAAACACTCCTTCAGCAGCAGGATGTAGCATGTCACCTTCTCTGTTGACATGATCTGCACGTTTCGGTGACATTACAGAGGCTGTTGAGGAAAAGAAAACAAAAAAAAACTATTGAGAGGTCATGGGGTGGAGGAAAGAATGGATATCAGATTCAGGAAATCTGTGACTGGCTTTGGAGGGAGGGGGGGATGAGGGAGTGTTGGTAAAGGCATCTCTTTAAATACTTCCTCCGCATGCATTCCAGCATCGGCCAATATTAACAAACCCTGCGCCGTGGCTAAATAAACACAAAAAATGCTATGGCCCTCGCGATAAAAGGGGTTATTGTTTAAAAAAAAAAACAAGCCACACTTCCCGCTTGAAAAAAAAAATCTGCTTTCAAGAACAGCATGAGCGAGCAGGGGTGTCCTCGCAGCTGGAGAAGGACGACTGTGCGATCAACCCAGCGGAGAGACACGTGCACTGCGGTGTGGCTTTCTTGGTAAAAGCGAGCCGAACCAACGTTGGTGTTCGCGGCATCGACGTACAATGGCAGAAGCTGGAGGATTTCCAAAAACAGCTTCTGTGATGCGACGTCCCCACGGATACTCGATTGCGAGGATGAAAGCAGAGCCACGAGTGGGCCGGCAAAGTGAAGATGTCAGAATGCCACGTATAATGGAAATAATAAAATAATAAAAATAAAACATAATAAAATAATTCTCACGACGTTTCGGCCACAACGCAAGCAGCCGCCCTCAGGTGAAGAACAGCTCTGTCTCCTTGACAGACCTGTTCTTCACCTGAGGACGGCTGCTTGCGTTGTGGCCGAAACGTGAGAATTATTTTATGTTTTATTTTTATTATTTTATTATTTCCATTCTACGTGACTTTACCGAAAGAACCAAGAAGATGAATCCCTGCAGTTACGAAAGCTTTAAATCGAAATGTCAGATTGCGTTAGACGGGTGGGATTCCAACACTGAGTGGGTGTGAATCTCATTTCAGAGAATGTAATATCCGCCAAGCCGATGCAATCGTCACCCACCGCTACGTGCAGAAAAGTTAATTTTAAGCAAAGTTCGCATCCTTAAGGCGCTGCTTTTCTAATGCTTCGTCGTCCAGTCGGTGATGCCGATGTGGTGAATGTGGCAGGGAGCTCTGATCGCACGCACATTTGTTGCGGAAACAATATTCAGTGTGTCCTTCAACAACAACAACAAAAAACAGACGCGCGCACAATTGTTATTTATAACATTTTATTAAAAACTATCAATAAATTAGATGTCAGGCCAGTGGCGGCTTGTGCTCAAATGTTTTGGGGGTGTTCGTCATTTGACACAGAGTTAGAGGGAATGGCTGGGGGCCTGGAAGCATGCCATCATGCTTTCCTCTCATCCCCAATCCTCATTTATCTTAATCATAACCACCATCATCACGACTATCGTTACCAACAATTTATTCAACATAATTTTCCATCATCACTCTTTATGTGCCAATCATCAGTCATCATTAACCACCGTTGACCATTACTGTCGCTGTCATCACGTGTCTTTAGGGGAGGCGGTGCAAAGATGAGCTATGAGTGGGGCTAGAACGGTTATGGGTGAAGCTAGAACGGTTATGGGTGGGGCTAGAACGGTTATGGGCGGGGCTAGAACGGTTATGGGTGGGGCTAGAACGGTTATGGGTGGGGCTAGAACGGTTATGGGCGGGGCTAGAACGGTTATGGGTGGGGCTAGAACGGTTATGGGTGGGGCTAGAACGGTTATGGGTGGGGATAAAACGGTTATGGGTGGGGCTAGAACGGTTATGGGTGGGGCTAGAACGGTTATGGGTGGGGCTAGAACGGTTATGGGTGGGGCTAGAACGGTTATGGGTGGGGATAGAACGGTTATGGGTGGGGCTAGAACGGTTATGGGTGGGGCTAGAACGGTTATGGGTGGGGCTAGAACGGTTATGGGTGGGGCTAGAACGGTTATGGGTGGGGCTAGAACGGTTATGGGTGGGCTAGAACGATTGTGGGTGGGGCTAGAACGATTGTGGGTGGGGCTGGAACGGTTATGGGTGGGGCTAGAACGGTTATGGGTGGGGCTAGACCGGTTATGGGTGGGGCTAGAACGGTTGTGGGTGGGGCTAGAACGGTTTTGGGCGGGGCCTCCACCCAAGGCTGCCAATCTATTGGCTGCCGTGCACCGGTTCTCGTGGGGCAAGGGGGGGGGGGCACCAGTGCCTCCCAGGTTTTCTTACTTTGGACATCAATCGACACATCGAGTGAGATATTGGGAAGCCGCTGTGAGCTTTTAAATCTCGATTTAAAACTCACTTCGTTAGAACCGCTGTGTGTTTTCGTTTTGTTGTCCTTCCCTCGCACCTGACCGACTGGCACGGTTGGCTACGTGCGGTGCGAAAGAAGTTAAACATACGTACATACTGATCATATATGACCCTCCCTGCGAAAAGATGATGAGTCGTGGGTGCAGAGGGCGCGACTGGAGATTTGTCTGAACACTGCAATCCCTATTGAGGAGCCGCCACTGTCTTAGGCACAATCTTATGACATTTAACTTGCTTTTGTTTTTACGACGCATGCGAAATGCTTGGAATGTACATACACAATAAGTATAAACATTAGTAAAAGAAAACAATACTGTTAGTGTCGATTCTTAATATTTTTTTTCAACGTTTATATAAAACCGTACAGCAAAGTGTAGCTTTCTAAGGTTTTGTCTATAAACAATGGCATATATTAAACTTTGTTTTCCTTCTTCAGAAAGTCCCCTGATGTTTTTCTTTTTTTTTTAATGAATAAAGGAGAGAATAAGTGTTACTGGCTAAACAACCGTTTTTCTATCGTTCATCTTTCTGAGCTGCCAGACCAGTCTGATGCATTACAGCACTACGTACATTCTTATCTGTTGTTGTACTCCTGAAAACAAAAACAAAAAACAGAAATGGCTTTCAGGCCCTCTGTATTAAAATAATCTATATATTTTTTTTTATTAATATACATGCTAAAATGCACCTGTAATTACTGTTTAGTACAAAATTACTATTATTACAGTATTATCAATATTATTAATAATATTATAAAATATACATATAACTATTTATACATTTACATGAAAGGCTTCGTACCATGTAGACCGCATTTAAAAAAAAAATCCGCTATCCCCAGCTTCAAAATGTGCTGTACCAACAGTTTTCAGTAGGTCACACACAAACATCTTTTTCGGACGGGAGAAAAATTTCCCGATGTGTGAGGAAAGACGGTCCCAAAGCAGGTGCCATTGTATACACGGTCCATCATCATTTCCTCCAAGGTCTCACGGGTATCGTTCTCTTGTCCTAGTGGGCACGGGCAGCCCACGCTCAAGTGTGAAGAGGTGACTTTTGACGCCCATCTGCAATGTCGTCTTCATTCAAGTCCAAGACGCGACCGTTTCGAGCAGTAGGAGGCATCTTCAAATGGCGCCAATGTCTTCACAACATAACTTAAAAAGAAGTGGCACTCCCACAGTCCTCGTCCATGATTGCTTACAAAAAAAAATACAATACACCAGCATATATCACCATCTGCAGTAGCAGCAAAAATAATTCATAGGCTTAAAGAAAGGTACGTATTACGTATTAACGTTTAAGCTTCAAGGTAGCATTACTCAATTATACGAAAGTATGTTGGAAAGTTGTCAAACGCGCACAATTTAGAAGATCTAAATCCAAATTTACACGAAACGTAAGAAGCGTGGTTTAAGTCTATAAAATCCAGATGAAACGTTCAACCGAGGGTAAATCACCATCATCGGTTAGAAAGTACAGTTAAGCTTACAGCTGCTGGACACAATTCATCAGGACCGGATCAGAGTGGGTGAGACACAGGGCCTACACGGAGGCAACGTGGCACACGGTCCACAGGGCCCTCGTGAATCTACCAGCCCCAGTGGGGGCGTTTTGGGCCCATGTTGGTGCACGTGGGCACTCAGGGCAAACGAGGTCGCACGACCAAACCGGACCCAGGCAGCACCGCCAGCGCACCTCCCCGCCTGGCGGAGTTACGTCCGCTGGGGCGGCTGGCGCGGCGGGTTTGGCTCGGCGAGCGGCAACTCCTGAGTGAAGCCCTCCTCGGGCTGCGCCGGTTTCGGGGGCGGAAGCGAAGGGCCGATGAGCACGGGCGGAACGGACTCGTGGCCGAACACCGAGTCGTCCCCGGAGGAGCACGTGCTGTTGGAGTCCGCGAAGCTGGGGGAGTACTGCTCCAGTGGAGCGCACAGGTCCAGGTACTCCTGTCACGAGGTGGCAGTGGAGACAACGCGATGTTTTAGCGGCGTCCACCTGGGCGACGTTTCTCGCGCCCATTGTTTGCCTGAACCCCAACTAACTCCTGGGATCCTCGTCCGTGTATTTGTCACAATCGTGACCCGACAATCACAACTCTCTGTTCTGCAGCCTCGCCAAATGCTTCATCTCCAAGCTGCGGATGATCGCGAAATGGCCGCTGCCTGACATCTCACCCATAAACGGGACGACGTCACTCCGATACTCCGATCGCTGCACCGGCACCTGATCCAACCAGTTTTAAGATCGCGGTGACCATCCTCAAGGTTCTCCATGGATTCGCCCCTGTCAACCTGTCCAGCTTACGTGTCAACACTCTACTACCCAGCACGCACTTTCCAATCCAGCAAAACCAATACTTTTATCGAAGCCCCCAGTCAACCATCGCGCATTGACAGGCCCCTCGTTCTCCTCTGTTGCCCGTGGCCCCTGTTCAAGTGCAAACGCGACGCTTTCCTTTTTTTTTTTCTCTGCCTATGACTGACTGCCTCTAAAAAATAAAAGGGCCCACTGTTTTTGGACAGCACCTTGAGATGCGGTGAAATTTAGACACTGTCATCATCAGCCATGATCAATCCCCCGGTTGGAGGAAGGTAAGTGGATCGTGGTTGATAATGGTAGCTTCTACATTTCAATTGTGCTGTGGCTTACAAGGCACTGGAGCCTTGGCCCATCTCTGAATCTGTATTCAATGCTAACCACGGGCGGTGCTGTCACTGCAACAGCATTGTGTGACTGCATCCCTCTGCACAGGATTGCATAATCCTAAGTACCTCCTGCGAGCTGAGTGTGAGGATCCTGTCCATGCTCGCCACCAGCTGCTTGAAGGTGGGCCTCTGCGATGGGGAGGCTGCCCAGCACATCTGCATGATCATATACCTGCAGCAGACACGCACGCACACCGCACGCTGAAGCTTGTTTCATGGCGCACAATCGAGCTCCCTGTAGATGAACGGGCAAATATTCCCCCTGCACTGAGATTATAATCAGTTGTCACGGCTATTTCAACCAGACCCGAGGATTTGGTCACATGTTGCGTGTTGTATTATTGCATTTTGTTGCATACAAAGACAAAGACCCCCCCGTATAGCCTTAACGGACTATAGGGGCAAGTGCTGTTAGCGAGCACCTATGGAGGCCGCAACGGTGGGGGTGGATGGCCAGCACCACGCCAGTGGCGATGTTTACACACCGCACCCGATACTCATTTGAGGCTGAGTCGACCTAGGGGAGGCCCAGGACCGGTTCAGATAACCGTCACTGGTGTTGGCCGTGAGCGGGAATCGAACTCGGGTTGCCGGGTTCATAGCGCAGCGCGCTAACCGCTACACTACCGCGCACTCCCACTCATTCGTCCGCCTGTGCAAGCGTCAACGTACAGCTCGTTGGGGCAGTTGCTGGGCTTGTCCATGCGGTGTCCTTCCTTGAGGAGCTTGAAGAGCTCTTCCACTGGGATGCCGGGGTACGGGGAGCCACCCAGAGTGAAGATCTCCCACAGAAGAACTCCAAACGACCATCTGCAAGCACCCACGCGAGAGCACCGTCGATGTGCCACCCCCGCAACATGGCCAAACAGCCGCTCATCCTGGGCCCTATCTCAACATCGACCTTGGCCAGGGTCAACGTCCGTTCTAAACTCCACCATCGGTTGCGATCAGCTTGGTGTATATTTGGGGTGCCATCGAAATTTGCATGTTTATCACATTGCTGGTAAATTGTGTAGGTTCATTACTGTTCATTCTTATGCTCATGGTACGCACATCCAATTGTGTGTATAGGAATCTATTATTTTATATTGTCTTCCATATAATTGGTTCACTTGGCTTTACCTCTCTTGCCACTAGAGGCAGAAAACAACCCTTAGATTCTTGAATCAAATCATGACCTAAAATTGTGATAATTTATCAAATCCCAAAGGAGAGTTAATTGTTATAGGCTTAGTACCATGCAGTCTAACATGAAGAATATCATATCAAGGTGCGTTGTTCACCCGTGGGCACCAGTTTTATATAAAACCATTCCAATCCTCGCATGATGAGCTAGAAAACATACAATTGAGTCCTGCAGTTTCAGCAGAGTGGGATTTGAGTGGCGATTAAATTACAATCTATCTTTATAAAAAAAAAAATTCCAGAGCATTGCCATGCAATCCCTCTCCAAGGATACAGCTGCTGCTGTTGCAGGAGAATTCGAACCAGATCCTCGCTACACGCAGAGCTCACTCTCACATTTTCCCCCAAAGCCTACACTACTCTGGCCCTCCGTTTCTGCACCACCGTCCTTTCCCCCAACAAACAGTCATCCACCCCCCGCATTCCATTGATTCTTTTTTTTTCATGCGCTGGAAAGCATTTTGTTGCATTAAATTATTCGGTCAAATAATAAAATGAATAACGTTAGAGAAAGATCGGTTGCCGGCCGACAGGTTTTCTGCGGTGTTTCATACGATGGCCATGAATGAGATTAGTCGGCTAAGAAGTTGAGATCAGTCTACTCTTACTAAGTTTACCGGAGTGAATTTGATCCCTGAAAAAAATACATTATTTTATCTCTGACCTGTCCTTGACCCTGACAAACTTCCCGCTATGGCTGCGGCTACTCATCACGTGTGACCTCCTGGTTCACCAGTGACCCGGAAATTATTCAGTGAAAACTTGGCCCTAACAAAAAGCCGTTTTATAATACAGACCAAAGAGTGGCACACTGAGTGTTGAACCCGGACCAGAGTTTGTATTGTATGCTTTTGAAAATGTGCACTCCCAAAAGGCCATGCGGCCAATGCGATGTGTAAAATTACACGTGGAAAGACAAATATGGGGGAGCAGGCATCGTGTCTGCTTCTTTATTTTGTTTCAAAATACTGTAAAATTAATTGGTTAATTGCTTAATACAAAAAGGCTGCTTCTCGGTCTCCTTTAGCCGAGATGCACCGTCGGTGCAGGTGGCCTCCGTCAGGTCTGTAATTATGGCTGTGAGTGCGCATCGACTGGCTGTGCGTTGGCGGGCCGCGTGAGCGTGCGTGTCAGGGGGGGCGGCCTGCCAGCCGGCCGGCCGGTGCTTGCGGTCGCGCGCACGCGTGCGGTAACTTACACGTCGCACTGGTGGGTGTACACCCTGTCAAACAGCGCTTCAGGCGCCATCCACTTGACGGGCAGTCGACCCTGCCAGCACCGGGAAACAGAAGGCATATTATTCCTCTGGAATCCGCGCGTACGCTAATTCAAAAGACGTGGGAGGAGGGGTTGTCGAAAGAAAACCTACAAAAATACAACACCGGGGCGCTTTAAATTGAAATTCAACAGTTTTTGCTTGCAGTGTTGGGTATTCATTAATTTCGAAGGGGGGGGGGTTTATTTGTTTAACTAAAAAAAGAAAGCTCCACATATTTGTAAGAAATGTCACACCGTTTGATCTCTCATTTGTAAGTGTATATAAAATGTGGTGATTTAATTAAATGTTTTGGTACTTTGAATTTTTAAATACACAGCGCTCCAAAGACAAGATCCAGAGCCAACAAAGCGAGTGAGTGTAGCCAAAATTAATACCCTCAATTTGTTTGGTTTCATTAACCTTACACAATATTTGTCATGTACTTTGAAAATTCGTTTTACTTTTTGCCCTCAGACCTCCATTCAATGGAGTGAATCTGCACATCATCTTTGATAAATTAGACATGTATTTTGGGAATACAAAAACAAAAACGAACTCACTATTTATCCAGTAAAGCCTCGCCGAATTTCAACACTCGTTTCCAGAAGGGTCCAGCATCAAGATTATTTGCCAATTCCATGAATACTCTGTCTTTGTCATATTGACGATAAGCAGAGTACCCAAAGAAAACCAATACGTAGCGTGGAATTAAAATCTCTAAGCTCCCCCCACACAGATGGATTCAATAACCCGTGGCTGTACAGCCATCGTCCGAATTCAAGTGACGTTTCACCGAGTGTTGGCTCCACTCACGTTGGTGGTCTTCTTGTAGTAGTCGATGTTGTGCACGTCGCGGGCCAGACCGAAGTCTGCGATCTTCATGACGTTGTCCTCGGTGACCAGGACGTTGCGTGCCGCCAAATCGCGGTGGATGCACTGGCGGACACGAGGAGACGGAGTTTTAGTCTCGGGGAGGCGCCCGGGCGCAAGAGAACCGTGCGCTTGCGAGCAAGGCAACTGTGCGCTTGCCAGCAAGACAACGGTATGTCCTCTCCTGCTCTCGCAAGTGTCATGCGACTGCACTATGCAGGGCCGTATATAGAAGGGGGGTGGGGAGCATAGGGCAGGTGGCACGATTTTTCCTGTGCTTTAGATCCAAGGGTGCCTTAGAAAGAGCCAAGGGAAGAGGCCTCAGAGAGCAATTCATTTGACATTTTGGCCGGGCCCTTTCAAAAGGCAGAAAAGGAGTCGGTTTCTTTTTGTCAGTTCCAAGGGAAGAATAATCCACAAACACTGAGCTACAAAACCATTTTTCCCGATTTAATGTGCATGCCCATGGGATGTAGAGAAATTCAGTGGCTTCTAAACACACATTCTGCTGTGGGACAACACAGGCAGACAGTGGAGTTCAGATAATTTCGGGGAGTGTGTCTCTAACCCCAGTCCACATGTTTTCTCGATTACCATCAGGTCTCCACAGTGTATAGCCGGTTAATTTGCATATGAATGGAAAAAGGTGCACCATATCAAATGTCTGAGTTTTAGGAAACACTGACTTCAGGCAATACCACGCGAAACATTGTTTTCCTTCTTGGCTATTTTTTTTTACATTTCACAAAATTTTATCCAGATTGTGCTCGCGGCATTATGTCGCGAGACGAAGCATCAACTGAAATCTGCGGCAGAGCGGTTGTAATCCTTGGTGTAAGCGAAACGGCTCACAGAAGCGGAGATCACAGAGTTGTCTCTGCATCAAACAGTCGGGGCAGCGATTTTGCACCCCAGCTCTGCTGCCACTGAGTGAGTAATGTTCCTTGGCCATGCCAAATTTTACTAGGCAGCGTTTGTACGTGATGGGAGTCGTAATGTATTTTTTCCACGTGTTCATTTGCTCTGTGCCTCGAGCAAAAGACACCCAGAATGCACCTAAACCTCCTTAGATTTCGGAAACTCGGCAGAGTTGAGCCTGAATAGTACTTGGATGGGCGACCGCAATGCACGTTAGGTTGTCACGGGTATCTGCCGCGCTGTGCTACATTTGTGGGCATCGGAAGGGCGGCGCAAACAAAATACATTTGTTGTACTGTGCTTGAACACTCCAACGTCAACGTTCCCCACCGTCACCAATCCATACTGACCAGAGCTGAAGTACAATAGACTCACCCCGATGCCCACATGGCACGGCAGAGGCCCTCATCCAGTGTTGATTATTATAATAATTTTTTACGAGGTATGGCCCACCGAGCTATGTAGCTCTTTATCAGAAGTGACCTGGCCCTCATGTGGAAAATTGAAAGCAGCCAAATACCCTAAACGCATGTTTCTAAATATAGAGCATCTCGCCACCGGGTCAAAAGGCACAGCAAGTGAACACGTGGGAAACGTGACTACAACGGACGATGTGGTGCACGGCGTCGAGAGGGGCAGAGCGAAGGCAGCAGCAGCGGGGGGAGGGGCAGTGCGGAGGGGGGAGGCACCTTCTTGGAGGCGAGGTACTCCATGCCACGCGCCACCTGGTACGCGCACGACACGAGGTCCTTGAAGGTGAGCTGCTCGCTCGGATCGCTGGAGCCGATCGGGTCGAACGAGTATCCGACGCCCGGGGGGCGCCGTGCCCGCAGGTACTCCCGCAAGTTCCCTTTGGAAGCGTACTCCACGATCACGTACAGGGGACCTAGCGGCACGCAGAAAACGAGCGGGGGGGGGGGGGGGTTGTTCGTGTCACTCTCGGTCCCCTACTTGTTAAATGGTAAAAGGTGCAGCCCTGCAATTGCTCGCTCACATCACTACTGGCGGAAGGGCTCGCCACTTTCAAGCTGGCGGACATCGTGAAAGAGGTGGGAGTGCCCACCCCATCACACGCGACCTGCCCATCGGCTGACTGTGGTGTATTTCGTTTATACCGCTGGAGTGCACAGGGGCGGGAGGATTTTAGAAACCCGCACCATTGCTTTAATTCAGTCGCCGCCAGGAGATCGAATAGATCAGCAGGGGGGGCCACTTTCGCCGATAAGACATCAGTGTGAGGGCCGCCACACATTTGAAGCCATTGGGTTTGACAGCACGATGGGGGCTATTTTCACATTTGTGTATTTTCGGGCGCCGCATTAAAGGCTGCCAGTGGCCGCCAGTGGTTCATGCCGGCCTTGCAATGAAGAACACTGGAATAGATCAATCGATCTCGAGATTGCAAGTCCATTGCGCTAACCATTTCACCGCCGCAGCATCATTTACTAATTACTGGTATAAAAATAACAACAAATAAACCGAGTTATTACAAGGTCAAGAGCCTGTGGGTATGAATTCCGCATGCTTATAGTGGCAGTGAGTCATAGCATAGAACAGCCACTGCTGACTTCCCACAGGTACTCATTGTATTGATCCACAAATGGATGGTGGGGCTGACCCAATGCCCGAAGAGGATGTTACAATTGAGCTGTGTGCTCTTAACAAATGTGCTGCGTGGCCAGCTCTTAACTTTGAGCCCTTTATCCTTCATCAAAACTCGCTCTTTTATCGTTTACCATTTCCTGCTATCCATGATCATTGATAGCAGACAACACGGGTCCTGGGATTAGTTTTCTTGCTGTGCCAGCAGATAAGATATAATTAACAGAGGAGAGCTTTAGCCACATGTAACAAACCACTTCAACAAATGCATTGGCCTTGCTACGACCACAAAACTGACAGCAGCGCATTGCTGCTTTGAATTATTGTTGGCAAGTTGCCCGCGATGACGCCACCACGCACCATCCTGGGTGCAGGCTCCCAGAAGGTTGATGATGTTTTTGTGCTTTCCTATCATCTTCATCACCTCCATCTCGGACACCAGATCCGAGAGCTCCTTGTCCGTGGCATCGTCTGAAACGCAGCGCCCACATTCTCGTAAAAAACTTGCAGCCACACAGGGATCAACAACTTTTCTCATTTCAATAACGCCGTCACTACAGGCCAAAAAAGTGTGGCACAGAGAGAAATCTAGGCAAAGCCTCATGGATTCGGTATTCAACGATGCATCGCTTAATCGATTAAAGTCAACTGTTATGCCAACGACACATGCACTATATAACGTGCATAAGAATACAGAGCTGTTGTTCAATTAAGATGAAATCACATCCAACAATTACTTACTATCATCTATAACTGTGCTTGACAACGAGCACAAAACTACCAACAATATATTAGGAATTGTTTTTAACGCCTTGTCGAAAAATATTTGTAATGACATTCTCTATGTATTACGTCTTTTTTGTTATTAAATTGCATTTTGCATAATTATACTGAGAATAATACATTGCTCATTTTCGTGTTGAGGATTTCATTGCTAAACACAGACGCGGAATTGCTTAAGTATGCTTTTTCCTGTGATATCAAATGTCCAATTCAGCTTGACTTACGGCCGTGCTTTCTTAAAAAGGCAAGCTGCACTGCGGTGCTAAATGTTTGGGGAAAAATGACGTGCGGCACAACAGCGGTCGAAGCCAACGAGATCGCTCGCCGTTCACCCTGACGGGATGGGAGTCGATTACTAAAAACAGAAACGTGACTGCAAATTGGCCAACGAGTCCATAAACCGCCATCACCCGGCCTGAACCCCGCCGCTGCACCCAAAATAGTGGCACTCTCATCGCTCCAGAAGAAAACGTTTAATCAGAGGTCATTACACGAGTGCTAATCGGACTCTGTTGCCGAAGAGGCTTTAGGAAATTACAGCATTACACCGCCGCCCTATCGGTAGACAAAAGGGACAAATGCGATTTTCACCGGCGGGTCCACCGCCCCCGCAAACCCTCATTACCCATAATTACCCTCTCTCTCTGCCGGCCTCTCTTCTCCGCACACCCGGGGAAGGAAAAAAAACCCTCATTTTCAGCTCATTACCTCTTGCGCTGCTACCACCAACAATGCCGCGGCCCGGGGCTGTGTCCAGACGGAACAAACCCTAAATCCCCACCGTATGTTTTTTTTTCCTGCCTTCTGTCCATCCCTCCGCGCCCTGCCGCTGCCCTGTGTTTTGCCAGCTCGAGGCTGTGCGCACAGTGTTTCTTTTTGCGAGTCTGCTTTCGTACCTCGATTGACGATTGGGGCTGGGTTCACGCGGAACATTCTGCGAACCCGAGTCCGGATCCGAGGGTGCTACCCCTTGCCATCCCCCCCAACGATACGTTCCTCGATCCCAAAAACCCCACAATATGTTTAAGAGTGACTCTCCTGCGATGCACTGGTCCACTCCGATACGCTACTTGTAATTATACGCGATGCCGTCTAAAGGTTTACTTAAATTTGTAAAAAAAAAAAACCCTACTGTGTGAACACACCACGCTTGCCAGCAGATCAGATCCGTTTCCAAAACGGGCTATGGATTAATGCTGGCTGGATTGTATGAACACAACCGAGGTTTTGAATATCAACTACTTGCCAATAGCTACAATAAACACACCTGCACTTTAGAACATCCGTCCATCAGACTCGCCGCTGATCGATCGGGAAAGCCAACAGAGCATCTCGGCGCCAGCCCGATCGCACGCGAGGGCACAGCGACATTTACAGACTCGCTGCGCCGTACGCCCCAACCCACCCGCCCCAACCACACCGCATCACACACCCACTCCGCCACACCACACGGCACCCACCCTTGAGCATCTTGACGGCCACAGTGGCCGTCTTGTTTGGCTTCTCCTTGTCAACTCCGAGCCCATCGGCCATCACCACCTGTCCGAAGCAGCCTTCGCCCAGGGGCTTTCCCAGAGTCAGCCTGAGCACCGACGCAGCCGTGGTCAGGGTGTGGGATAGCAGGGAGAGCAGCAGAAGGTGGGCGGGTGGGTGGGTGGGCGGAATAGCAAGAAGCGTATTAGTAACAACCTTCTGCACATTTAATACGCTCAGCTATTGATCTGTTTGCGGTAGTTTAGTGGTTAGCGCTGCACTATGAACCTAGTGATTCGGGTTCGATTCTTGCTCACGGTCAACACCAGTGACGATTATCTGAACCGGTCCTGGGCGTCCCCAAGGTCGACTCATCCTCAAAATGAGCACTTGGTGCGCTGTGCAAAACATTTCCACTGGGGAGACAAAGGCGGCCGGGCGTGGTGTTGGCCACCCACCCCCTCGTGTGCCGTGCTGGCCTTGAAAGGTGCTCACTAACAGCACTTGCACCAACAGTCTATCCAGGCAATACGGGGGAGCTTTGTTTTATATATATAAAAGGGGCTTCAAATAAATGTTAACACTTATATGGGACTATCGTTTTTAATTGAAAAAGAAAGGATAATAACACTTTATAACATGATAACAAAAGTATGTTAACAGATTCAGAAAGTCAAAGAGTCTCCACTTGTTCACCATCATTGTCAACGCGTGCCTGGAATCTTCTCCAGGTGGTCTCCAGAGCCCGAAGGCAGCAAATTCTCCGAAGTGTTAACATTTTTTTGAAGCACCCTGTAAGTTGCTTCTTCAATGCACTGCATTCTATACAAGTCGAATGACATAAGAGGGTTCAAGGACCACTTATACTGCCGCGTAAGTCTCCGCGTAGGTATTGTCTGTTGCTTGGCGTGACGTCCGACATTTTACTTCACGAGCTTCTCCAGGAACTGAATATTCAGGTCCTGAGCTCCAACAGTTTCTGAAGAAGCCCCCAGCATAAGGCGCGAGTCGGAGCTGATGATTGCTACGTCTATATTCCAGCTGAGTATTTTGCTGAGAGTCTGTAAAAATTTGGACGTTGACGCCCGGCACACAATAGCCTTCTCTTTCGAGCGACATCGACGGGATCTTAAACATCCACTGCAAAGCAGACGGAGCGTATTTTTTATGCTTACGCAGTATTAACCGGGGCGGCCACTTCGATGCGAGCCGTGAACCCCTGCAACCGGCGGCGAATGCGCTACGGCTGAGCCACGTCACCGACGTGCGCAGTAGCACGCGCGCCGACCTCTGCTTTGCGGCTACACCACCTGCCCAGCGTTATTGATGTTGCTGTGAAATGGCAAAACACCTGTCGCGCGGAAACTCCCAGCGGGGGTCCTCGGGCAGCTCGTACTCGGAGACCCCGGGCAGCCCGCCGCCGTCGCTGGAGGAGCAGCGCGTGATGCGCACGAGCGGCGTGTGCGATGTCAGCGACGAGCTCGAGTCGATGGACACCTGCGGCGGAGCGCACACGACGGACACGCGGTCGCGCAAGGCCCGAGACGGCGTGCACGCGCGGAGCGGAACCTGTGGGTCCCAGCCTGCCCCACCTCCCACCTCCCTCCCAACCCCTTCCCCCCCGATTATAAAGCAGAGAGGGCCGCCCTCTCCCTCCTAATCTCCGAGATCACCGATCGCAGCCCCAGAAGTCTCCCTGCAATGACCCAGCCCTGTCGCCCGTGCACACCAGAAGGCCCCCGTGGTGACCCAAGTCTGGACCTGTACACACCTGCTGCTTGAGCGGAACGCCCTTGGAGAGCTTGCAGAGTTTGGGCTCGGGGAGGCTCTTGGTGGCCGCGTGCCTCCAGCGGTAGAGCAGCATCACGGCGAGCATGAGGCACAGCAGCAGCGCGCCGGTGCAGTAGATGCCGATCTCCGTGTACATGGGGTCCAGCGAGCTGCTGTCCCTCAGCTCCTTCACCGTGGCTTGTGTAGGGAAGGGAGCGGATGGGGGATTCTTGATTAATACATATATGATTGCATTTTAATGTGTAAGTATTCACAGCCGCTTGCAGCACAAATGTGTGTTTGGATGCCCAAGGTCACCACAACAAGGCCATCTGGTTATTCAGTCTCGTGCAAAGTTTCAGAGGCTTTCGTTGTATGGACAGCTTTGGAATCCGTGGCTGGGTCAGGAGAGACCGCGGGTCTATGTAGAGTTTGCAGTGGCACCATCACGATTCAATCGCAGACTCCAGCCGTGCCATGGCTCAGGCAAGGTGGATGCTTGTGAGGCCACGGACACAGAAGGATCAGTGCTGCTGTGCCCGTCTGCAACGAGTCCCACTCCACCAAGCCAAAGAGGCAGCTTTCCCAAAACACATCGGACAGTAGCTCTCCGATGTGTTTTTCTGGTTGTACCACGTGCCGTTCGGCATGATGGCTGACTCTTAGCTCTGAGTGCTAATAATAATTGGCATTTATAAGGCGACGCGGAACGACCGCAAGTCGGCTTCCAAAGCGCTCGCGCGAGCCACAGCACCGCCGCTCAGCACATCGTTGAGACGCGGACGCGTTGACCTTCGACGTCAATCGCATTTCGATTGACGTGAAGCCAATGCTCTTTCACATCATCATTCTTATTATTTGTTTCATTACATAAACTCCAAGCGAGCTTATTTCATTTTTAAGCAAGCAAACGGTTGCACACCCCGAGTACATTTAACTCGTGAAGCAATCGCAAGAGGACAAACGACACAGCGAGCACAGGAAGATGGCATTCGCTTACATGTGCGAGCAACAATTGTGCACCTTGTTGCCAATTGCAAATGTTTGTCCATGGCAGCAAAGAACAGATGAACTTCGCTGTTGTAAAAACCAGAAAAATGAGGTTGTGTGGGCTATGACGGTGCTTTATGTAGCATCAGCGGCAATCTGGGACTATAACTGACACGTGAGTTGTGGTTTGAGACTGCAATGTTGAGCTCCACTTTCAGCTTGGATTGTGTCATTTATATATAAAAAAAACATTTAACGATGCGTTGCTTCATTGACTAAAATGTATTTCGATGCTCAAGATAAATTCATCCAATCACGTGCATCAGAACCGATTACTTTTGATCTCTCAGGTTTAATTTAATTGGTTCGTGCAAACCGTGCAATCACTCGCAACCTCTACTTAAATAAAGAGTTTGAATCGTGGCCCCGAATCAGAACCGCCGAGAATCGTGTCAATTCGGGAAGCCAGCGGTAGGGCTAAATCATTACCTGCCTACAAATTAAACAAACGTAAACAAAACGTATTCATTTCAGCCAAACACAAATCTGTTAAACTCTTGCACCGTTAGTCACACTGCAGTCACGCTGTTTTTAAAAGCTTCTGAATCCAGCCGAGCACGACCCGGGGTCTCGTGTGCAACAATGCGCTAAATGTGCCCGGTAAACTGTGGCTTTAAAAGCTGCCTATTGGCCGTTTAAGCTCTTTGAAAATCAGTGGCCTAGGGGCGGCTTGCTGAGCGAGGAATTTGGAAACTGTTGAGGCTTCATTCCGGGCCAGTGCAGATGGAAATCCGTGCCGGCACGCTCCGTGCACACCCGACGCTATTTGTCCATTCATCGCTCCGGCTCCAGGCGCTAGCTTCCCGCCGTGCTGTCAATTTTAATCACAGAGCTCCTGCATAACTTCTGAAGTATCCCCGGCAGATCGCCTCTTATTTTGCGGCAGATTCCAGGTTTGGAGCAATGCGATTGGCCGATTATGCTGTCGATTTGTCAAGGCTGGCACGAGAGAAACGGGTCAGAATTCGGACAACTGGAAGGCACAGAAGATGGAATAAGCAGTTGTTTCTTCCTTTCCCCCACTAAGTTAATTATTGCTGTGCTGGTAGAATCATGTGCACCGCTAATATTTATCAAGTGTGGCGAATCAAATCTTGCCTTAAAACTGCAGGAATTCCTATTCTTTGGGTCTTTCGGTAAAGTCACATAGATAGGTTGAAAGAAAATAAGAAAAAAGTAGTTTTTTTTAAATAACAAAAAAATATTTTTTTGTTATTTTCTTTGAAACTATCTACGTGGCTCTACCGAAAGACCCAAAGAATGTGGCAAATCGCTTTCCACTTGCTACCGAGCCGCTCGAGTGTTTGAATGTGGTTAAAATGCGTTAATTATTAATGAGCATCCTGCCAGCACGGCAGTGGGTTTAGTGAATCATTACGGATCAAATGATGCCTTGTCAAAACAATTGTAATGGCTGAGATTGAAGCAGCAGGGCCTGAACAATCGCTTCTCACCGCATGTGTAGTGGCAAGAGATTTTCTCATAATCAAGTAGATAGCACTGCTGCGGTAATTTACCACTCGAAACAAACCAACAAAAATGTAAATGAACATAGTAGACTTTGAGCTTCTTGTCGTGTCATGTGTGTGAGTGCATGTTTTTTTTATGACACCCTTCATGTTATTATTTTGAAGTTTTCATTTGCCGTTTGAATTTGCAAACGCAAATATAAATCAGGGTCGTGACCGCCTATGCGTATTTTCGGAACCTTCACCGTTTGAGAACCGTTAACTGTTGTTAACTAAACGAATGAAGTGAGCCGATCACAACAAAAGCAACATCACAACCGTGATGAACAGCAGCAGCAGCAGTGTTGGCAACGTTTCAAATTGGCAAACGACGCGGCAAAGTCGTGCGATTATAACGTAGTTGGGTGGCAGACTCAGACACCGAGGCAAGACACAGTCACGCAGAAGTAACACGCGAGACGAGGCCAGGGTGGTTCTAAAGTCCATGCCTTGCTACGGACCAGTTCAACAAATTATCCCCTTTTAATTACAAATGTAATTGTTACGTGCCGCACGTATCTGATGATTTCCAAACGAGTCCCATGTGAATTAGCGAGGAGCTGATCAATTTCAACCGTTACACCACCACGTGAAACGCACGCGTACACACGGCACAAAGTTCTCCACTTCAACTTGAATCCACTATCTCCGCGCCATGCGGGACGCGATTTGGCAATCGTTGGGCGCGCGTGCGAGTGGACGTGCACATCCGCCGCAACGTTTTCGTTAAATAAAAGGCACATCGGCAAAAGCTCGGAATGACGTAACCCCTTGTGGGTCGCGAGGATATGGAAGCCTGGAGTCAACGCAAGGACCCCAAAAACACACACGCGGTGGGTGGGTGGGGGGGGTCGAGGTGCACGAGGAGAAAAGCTCGGAAAGTACCTGGCACGACATTTAGCCAAGCAGTGTGATAGGCGAACCCGATAGAATTCCCAGCCAAGCAGGTGTACTCTCCGGAATCCTCGAAGGTGACATTCCACAAGTACAGCACCTCGATCTCTTTGTCTGTCGTGTTCACTCCGGCCGTCTACAATGTGGGGGGGGTGGGGGGGGCGATAGGGTGGGTAAGGGGGGGGGGTGCAGTCGGAGGCAAAAATTAAGAAACGAAATCAAGGAAGAACAAAGGGCGAGTTTAAAGACGGAGCTTCCGCCCGCCAGTCACGAGTGGACGACACCCACGGGCACGGCGAGCAGCACGCCGAGACGCGGTTCGGCTTCGGGGAGGGGGACACCGCGCAGCGCCGTTGGGGGGGGGGGCTTCGAGCGTCTAACGAAACCGCAGCGGCGATTGCATTCCGGAGATCCATCCGCGCGGTCCGTGCTCGTCGCATTCATTACGCGTGTTTTTATTAGTTCAATTAATGTGCTCGTCGCTTGAGCGACAACATCAAATGAAACTGTAATGGAAGATTTGGCGACGATCGGCCGATCGACGCTTTGGCGCGGAATTTAACGCGTCGCGCTGCGCAGCCGGCGAGCTGGGTTCAATTCCTGGCCACGGTTATCCATGGTCAGTGAAGAGGCATATCTGAAGTGGTCCCTTGCCAATGCACACTAATAAGTGTAGTGAAGTATGGTCAAACAACCCCCCATAACTGACACTTTTACAGTTATGGGGGTTGTTTGATTTCATCCAGCAGTGGCTTGACGTTTACGTTTATAATCTGCAAGTTTAGAATGTATCAATGAACGATGGGGCTGGCTCAGATATGCGCATTACAAAAATTTGGGGATGTTACTTTTGCAAAGGAACTACGGCGACTGGTCAATGTCCACCTCGTCTTAGCGCAGTGGGTCTCGGCGTCAACCCCGATTTGCTCAACCACTCCCAAGAGAGCAAAAAGGTCCGAAGCTTCAATCGGCTGCGGCGCTGTGCCCACAGCAGATTCACAGCCTGGCAACACACTCACCTGTGCGCCACGCCATCACGTGCGAGACGAGACCATGTGTGGAAATGTGCCGCTCGTGAACAAATGGCCGAGGGCGGATAAGTGAATTAATTAAACAAGTAAAGGGACAGTGTAAATGTTCTGTCTGGGATCATATTAACAGCCACTAACGTTGCCATATGGTCAAACCACGAGTGCCACACATTAACACACACACACACAAAAACAACGATTAACATTATAATTGGTCTTTTAAGTGACCATTAAGAGGCCCTGTTAGTGGCATGAAAGTGCGGATATATCCTGCAGATGGAAGATAATCCTTTGTTTGGTCTTGCCGGGCAAGAGGTCATGAGATCTCGTGGCAGTTGCTCAGAAGCACAAAGGGAACTGCAAACAACCCCGCAGCCAGGATCCAGCGCCGCATACGAATACGAGCAGGGCAAGCGAGCGGTGGCCAAGAGCTCGCACACGCATCGGCTCCCTTTTGGCATTTTCTTTTGAAGGCTAATTATTAATTGATGAACGAACTGATTCTTCACTACAGACCGCTCATCACTCTTGCTCAATAGCTGTGAGATCGCCACAAACCCCCCCCCCCAAAAAAAAAACACTACCCGGTTGATTGCTTGGAAATGCACTAAACGATTTACACGAAGCTTAGCTTGCGCCGCCCCCCTCGGACATGTGTGTGCATATCTATGCACTCGTTGAAAAGAATCGATTAAATCAATGCCACTAATGTCGTTCCGGCTCATTCCGTGCATCTCATTCAAGCGGCCGCCTCGCATTCGCGGCATTGCATCCTGCGCAGCTGCATGTTCATCGGCTCACATCTCCATCTGCCAGCGTCCAAGCCTTTCTCCGCAAGTCACACAAGAGCCAAAGCATTTCTCCCACAAGCCACCTGCGCTTGCAGCAAACCACCTGGCAACCTCCCGCAAGCCCCTGCGTGGCACAAGGCCGCCGCACGAAAACAGGCCGGCTCATTTCGGCCTCGTTTCGAGCGGGCACAAAACAACAACAACAACAACGACGACGACAAAAAGCACAGCAGTCCCAGCGAGCATCCCTGCAGCAGCAAACACCAATTGAAGAAAGCCCTGCGGTCCCAAGGGATCAGCAGGGACAGCTGCCGGGGCAGCGGAGGGCAGAAGGGGCAGAAGGCCCAAGCCGTTACCTGGCGACAGGCCGAGGACCGTGAGCCTCGCCTACATAATCGGAGACCTTACGGGCGTACTGGCCGCAGTCGCCCATCGACACATTGCGCAGGCGCAGCGCCTGCACGTCGGGGCTACTTAACCCCGAGCTCTGGGGGAAACGGAGAGAGACGAACGTGGGGGGGTCGGGGAGGGGGGGCGGCGTCAGCGTGGGGCACGTGAGCGGGAACGCACGTCCACAGTCCTCGCCAAACCCTCTACTCCCCAACGTCCGCACTCAAGCCTCCCTCAAGATGTGTGTGTGTGTGTCGAACTTCGTTCACACCGCACGTAGCCAACCGCGCTAATCGGAGGTGCGGGGGAATGACAACAAGCTGAACACGAAAAGCAGTTCTAAAAAATAAATGAGTTATCAATCGAGATGATTTGAACGTGTATAGCTTCAGTGGCTTCCTAATATCGGAAGGAATAGCGTTACCCCTACACAAAGGGCTATTGCGAACAAATGACCCCATTTCAACTCCATCCTCGGCAGAGTGAGCCCTGTTGATCAAATGCTGCTGGGCTAGATTCGTGTTCACGAACCGCATGGGACCTGTCCAGCAGAGTAAAAACACTCGGTATATTTATATTGATCCCTGACGTTTCAGGCAATGGGCCTTCTGCATAGCACATACGAAGAAGGGCCACAGGTCAAAATATAATTTATTTGATATATATTTTACTTTTAAGTCAGTGTTATTGATAAATCTGTTTTTACATGTATTATTCACCTGTTCGAGGACTGTAATGTGTAGTTAATAATTAACAATCTATTAATTAGTTTATTTTTAATTTATGATGTTACTGGCTGCTTATTTTAGGCTGGGGAAACGAGAGGTATTTTTAAATTTCTGGATTTTTTTTTGTTTATCTGCGAAGATAGCTCAAAACCTTGGACGACTAAAAGGATATTTGTATTAACTCGGGACGACGAGGAATTTGCATCACTTCTGAACAAAATTACCGCCACTACTCCAAACAACGGCGCAGAAACGCCAACTCCGATTAAGCCATCTCACTGACGAGAAACCACGAACGTGTAAACATTACGTCATGTTAGTTTTCCTAACGAGAAATGGAGAAAAAAAAACATACGAGTAGGCGCGCACACGCACGGGAGAGGCACACGGGCAGATGTGCGGACAGACAACGAACCCTACATACTGCAACGAGGGTGTGGAAGCCCTCATCCAGCAGTGGATTGAAAAAGGGAATGCGCTGTGACACTTGAGACGTAGCACGTGAAGCACATTGAGACAAATCTTGCTTTTGCGACAGAGACCTGTGATACGGAAATCTCATTCGGAAGCAAACCAAAATCTCACGCATCAACAAAGTAGTGAGGGATTTAAACAAAAAAAGTCAGAGGATGTCACTTAACGCGACGACGTCACTCGACGATCGCATGACGACGATGGAGGTGGCACCTCACCTTGAGGACCTGCACGTAGGGCGAGCCGTCGGGGCCGAACTTGCTGCCGTTCACCTCCACGTGCTTGAGCCACTGGATGTGGGGCTGCGCGTCGCTGTACACTTTGCAGTGGAACTCCACGTCGCTGCCCTTCACCGCCGTCTTGTTAGCCGGCAGTCCGGCCTGCAGGATGGGCCGGTGCGGCGAGCGCTCTGAGCGGGTAGTAAACAAACATTAAAATTTTAATAAAACACGGGCCTGGGACAAGGGTCACGCAGACGCCGGAAACAAAACGACCGGAGGAAAAAACAAACTGACGGAAAGAGAGAGTTTGTCTTGGCCTAAAACTAACTATTTTTTTATTTTACCAGGTAAGACCCACTCAGCCATGTAGCACTTTTTCAGAAGCTACCAGCCCACAAAAGATAGCTCAACAACGTGGCTTATCAACTCGTGGAAATATATAGCAGCCAAATACTCTAAACGAATGCCGATTCTTAAAGCGGAGGGAAAAACATGGAGGATGCGGAGAATAATCCACGCGACCACGGGGAGAGAAAACACGCAAACTCCGAATATACAGCAGCAGGCGTCAGGGTCGGGATCGAAGCCACGACCTCCTGCATACCAGGCGAGGAGGAGGTTAACATCTATCCACCGCGGCGGCCTGGCGTGGTGACGGGCTCTCACCCACGACGTCCAGCTGGTAGGTGTGGTTGATGGAGCCGTAGCGGTTCTCCACCATGCACGTGTAGTTGCCGCGATCCGAGGGCACGACGCTCTCCATGATGAGGCTCCAGTGCTGCTGCCTCAGCTGCGATGATGAAACACACGGCAACAGCAAGGGTGGCGCGTCAGTCGAGATTTGTATACGCGGACGTGCGAACCTTCACTATTCTGGCAAATCGCCCGATGATGCTGGATATAATTGCCAGCGAAACGTCACGGTACTACTCAAATTATAAATGTTGTGGATTTACTCCCCAACACACCGGTGGGCTGAAGTAGTAACTAACTGGCGCGTTGTTTACGTGACAAATCCATTTCTAATTGGCTGTGTTGGGTGGTCGAGGGTTACGACACATTTATACGCGATCTAACCCAAACAACCTTTATTATGAATAATATTGGTCGCGAAAGCCTACGACGTGTTAAATTGTACGACCCACGTTTGTCAACCAAAGTTCACGACTTGTTATTATTTACAATCTCTACTGCTGGATGAAACCCTCTCCACTCCACGTCGGTCATAGGGATTTGTTTCACCAAACTCCACCAAGATAATTCAGCGCAGCTTGGTGAATGGAGGCAATGGTGGCCAGGGCCAGTTCAGCTATCGCTCGCTACTCATGCATGTATGTCGAACTTCTTTCGCACTGTACGTAGAAAACCATGCTCATCGGAGGTGTAAGCCATGGCTGTGAGGGTCGCTGGGTTCAGAGCGCGGCGTACCACCAACCCGCACCGTCGTCTCGCATAATACAAAAATAAAATAAAAATTATTTAAATCGCACGGCGAGGACCATCACTATTATTGAAACTATTCATTGACCGTCGAGTTCACAGCCGCCTTGCGTGATTGCGCACACGTGACCGAAAGTGCCTGGGGCAGTGGAAGATAAATTGGGTAAATTAAGCATGGGACAAAGGGAGCAATATAACAGACGGTTATTTAAAAAAGAAACATTCGAGCCTTTCACTCAATTATATCTATCTATTTTTTGTGTTTGGGCTTGAGACACATGTATAATCTTACACCTGAGCACCGCCGCACCCAAAGCAAGACTAACGATGGTGTAACGTTACCTGCCCAACTTGCACGTGCCTCCCCGCTTTCGCACAACAATGGGGCGGCATTCGGGAGCCTCTTCACAACCTACTTAGCTATTCAAACGCATTTTTTATTTTACCAGGTAAGGCCCACTGAGCTTTGTAGCTCTTGTTCATAAGCGACCTGGCCACAAGTGATAGCTCAACGAAGTGGCTTATCACGTGGAAATGTATAGCAGCCAAATACTCTAAACGCATGATTCTAAACATGGAGGGAAAAAGCCAGAGGACCCGGAAAAAATCCACGGGGAGAGAGAGAGAGGATACGCAAACTCCAAATATACAGCAGGCGTCAGGGTCGGGATCGACCCCGCAATCTCCAGCATACCAGGCGAGGCAGTTAACACTTTTTACCACGGAGAGAGAGATGCAAACTCCAATTATATACAGCAGGCGTCAGGGTCGGGATCGAACCCGCAATCTCCAGCGTACCAGGCGAGGCAGTTAACACTTTTTACCACGGAGAGAGAGATGCAAACTCCAATCATATACAGCAGGCGTCAGGGTCGGGATCGAACCCGCAATCTCCAGCATGCCAGGCGAGGCAGTTAACATCTCGCCAACCGCAGAGGGTACCGAAGCGGCGACGTTTCTCGCAGCGCCGCGGATCTCCGAGACGCCCGAGGCCGGCGGCGCGAGCAATGAGACGAACAGCGATTGATTTGGTCGCTCGCGACAGGCCATCCATCACAGGGCCTCGTGGTCACCTCGCGGGCGGGTCAATGTCGCCGCGGACGGACGGCCCGGTGTTTGTTTGCTCGTGTAATGGGACAGCCGCATTAATGCCGAGACGAGCAGATGTCGGCGGTTTGCCAGACGTTTGTCATCGCCGCCACACAGGGCGTGGTTCTGTCCTCGGCTGCCTCCCGTCATCGCCGGTTGCCTCGTGTCCTCCCGGTTACCTTGCCATGTCCGATGCCAGACAGCCCGCGCGCGTGCGCGGAGAGACAATGCCACTCGGTAACTGCTATCAGCCTGGCTCGCCTGACGGCAGCTGGCCCAGTAAAACAATTTAAAGCCGGCGTGCCACGTGCTGAATGTTAATGTTTTGTTTAATTATGCGAGGGTGAAGGCGTATTTTGCTCACCATTGTGTGCCAACTAGTCATCGTTTTCAGCTCCGTTTTATTGGCCAAAAATAAGCGTGAGCACACTGAGACGAGACGGGGAATCCCTTATTCATCTTTAACGACTGCAGGGACAAGTTCGTGTAAGTGAGCCCCTATTAAAGAAAGCACGGGACAAGGGGGCAATTTGGCAGGTATCACTTCCAGCGGCATTTGCCACCCCGGTTCTGACAATGAACACACTACACAAAGCAAAAAAATGTAGGAATGAATGGATTGGATACTAATTTATAATGAGCGTCATTGGCTAGGAATTGAACCAGAGAGCCTTTGGATTTGTTGCACCAACCACTACGCCACCACTCCCAAACACACAGAAACAAACATCGGATTTCATCAGCAAACAAGATGACATCACCCCACTCCTCCAGTCCCTCAGCTGGCTCCCGATTCAAAGCCAGATTCTTTTCAAGATCGCCCTTCAAGATGCTCAGTGCACGTTCTGCTCGAGCAACCAACCCCCCAGGTCAACGTCTGCTTGGCGAGCGGTCAATCGTTCTTCTCTGCTGCTCACGTAAGCTGCAACTCCGGCCATCCATGCCATCGATGCCCTTCCCATGCTCAAGACCGTTCCCCGTTCAGAGGCTCAAGACTAAATTTCGATTTAAAGCTTTCGTGACTGCAGGGATTCATCTTCTTGGTTCTTTCGGTAAAGTCAAGTACGTGACTTTAGCGAAAGAACCAAGAAGAAGAAGAAGGCTCAAGACTCTTCCTCTTTTAGATTTGAAGCTTTCGTGACTGCAAGGATTCATATTCTTAGGTTTTTTCGGTATCACTTGATACAGCTATCGTGCTGTGACGGTTCCACCTGAAGACGGAGGCTTGTGTTGCCTCCGAAACGTCGTGATTTTATTTTATTTTTATTTTACTTTCATTAATTTTAATTTTTTTCCTACGTGACTTTACCGAAAAAACCTGAGAATATATCTTCCTCTTCTCTTCCTCCTTGTTCCGACGACAGACCGCCTCTCTCGGTGTAAAACAAACACGCCCGGCGTTCCCACAACGGCGGTCTTGACGTGCGATCGCATCCCAGATGCGGCGTAAATCCCCACCCTAAAAAAACCGAAATTTCTAATTTGGACCCCCCCCAGCGAGCGCCGTGCCCCCACCTCGTTTCCCGTCGCGACGCCTCTCACCTTGATACCGCCCATGCGGTGCTCGCTGCGGAATTCCCGGCCGTTCTTGAGCCAGCGGATGACAGGAGGGGGGTTCCCTGCGGCCGGGCAGCGGAACTTGACGGTGTTCGCGGCGGGCACGGCGTGAAGACGCTTGTCCATCTTCTCAGGGTGGGTCCAGAAGGGAGGGCCTGCTAGTGGGGGAGAGGGTGAGGTGGGTGGGTGGGTGGCAGCCGTCAATGACAGAGTTCCACAGTCATCACGTGTCACACACATGCATGTTATACACGTACATCTACGGCCCATTGTTTTGTTAATCTACTGCTGGACTGCTGGATTGAGGGCCTCCCCACACCATGTAGATGGTGGCAGGTATTGGATTATGCTGCTCAGGACGGGTTGGTGGTGTGGTGAAGGCGGGAAACATAGAAGTACAGCGCAGCAACGGATTTTGCTTCATTGCTCGAAGCTGCCTACCACATAACCCCGCATCATCCAATGACCTGTGATGCATGGTGGTCGGCCGTCAGAGCCATATCCAAGCTATGGGTGCGTTCCCGGTGATATTTGGTCGTGGGCACAACCCGTTATCATTTTGAGGACTTAATTCTCCGAGGCAAACGAGGCTGGCAACGTGTGCCACTTAACCTCGCCCAGATGTAAAAAAAAAATGTTTTTTTGAGGTTATGAATATCAGACCAGTTATAAGATATGTCTGGGAAATGTCTTACTTTATACATTTTTTTAATGCCAAGCTGACTCAACGAGACATGATAACAGGATATACAGCTGGGTTTAGGTTGTACATTGTGCCCATTTATATCAGAGTCATAGCATGTGATTGTCCCATGCCATCAGTAAATGATGGCGCACATGCCTGTGTGCGTGTGTTTGTGTGTTTGTGTGTGTGCGTGCGTGTGTATGTGTGTGGGGAGCGGGAGTGTAGTGGTTAGCGCGCTGCGCTACGAACCCGGCGACCCGAGTTCGATTCCTGCTCACGGCCAACACCAGTGACGATTATCTGAACCGGTCCTGAACCTCCCCTAGGTCGACTCAGCCTCAGTTGAGTATCTGGTGCGATGTGTAAATATCGCTACTGGGGAGACAAAGGCGGTCGGGCGTGGTGCTGGTCACCCACCCCCCTCGTGTGCCGTGCCAGCTTTCACAGGTGCTCGCTAACAGCACTTGCCCCAACAGTCTATTAAAGGCTATACGGGAGGTCTTTGTGTGTGTGTGCGTGTACGCCCATAGCGGTGATAGGTGACTTTGTAACCCAGCCATGAATCATCCGCTGACAGAAAATCAAAGGAATGCAGACGCCTTCATTGTACCTCAACCAACGCGAGATATTCCACGGAGCAGGTAGTTCAGACTGCGATCCTCCGACACAGATAAAGTGCAGCCCGAGTTCATGCACGGCTCCAATCAATGCGACGTTCACATTCTCCTTTGTGTGCCCATGAGGGCCTATGCTCATAAATTCCTAGGTTTAAATAATTTTCAAGAAATGAACATTATTTTCCCAGGAGAACCATCGCTGTGGCTCAAGATTCTATTTTTTGGGGGGGGGAGCAGGGGGGGGGGGGCCTGCGACAATGCGACGTTTGCTCCGTTGTGTTACAAAGGAGGAGTATGCGGCTTCACGTGCGAAGAAACTGAAGAAGCTGCAGAAAACCCACGGACATACGAGGAGGGTGACGCGCGCAACGTTCCACGCAGTTCAATTCAAGAAGCCAAATGCTGTACTGCAATATTCGGGCCCACATTGCAGCCTGAGCCTACACACATCACCTGGGAGCAGTATTCCCAGGCAGATCTTCCATCCAAGTGCTGAACAGGCTCAAGCCCGCTTAGCTTCTGAAAGTTATTGCTATCGGATGCATTAAATTTCGATTTAAAGCTTTCGTGACTGCAGGGATTCATCTTCTTGATTCTTTCGGTAAAGTCACCACGTAGAAGGGAAGTAATAAAAGAATAAAAATAAAACATAATAAAATAGTGAGAATTATTTTATTATGTTTTATTTTTATTATTTTATTACTTCCCTTCTACGTTACTTTACCGAAAGAATCAAGAAGATCGGATGCATTGTACTAAATGACGCTTTGTCTACCCAGCAGTGTCACACCGAGTCTCGAGACCCTTGTTCAGTAGGGTCCTGTCAAGTTTATGTTTTATTCTTTCAGTTTGATGGGGGGGGGGGGGACGTTGCCACGTTTAATCCCAACCGAGTCATTTGCAGGTCATTGTTTTCCTCTGGGTTCTCCAGTTTCCTGGAGAGAGTGGCGGGTCGGGAGAGACCCTCCGTGACCCCGATTTTTAAACGTAATGCTAAACTATTCAAGTTTCCTGGAGAACCCAGAGGAAATGCATGCAGAACGGAGGGAGAACATACAAACTCCACACAGAAAGCCGGGAATCGAACACAGGTTCGTCTTGCTTTGAGACGCGGGTGTTATCAAACGCGCCACTCTGCCGTCTTTGCGGGCAGAACGATTTGATCGTAGGGGTTGAGTTCTTACAAGCAATTGCTTTTCATTGCAAAAAAATATATCGCTCACTATTGCAGACGGCAGGATGCGTACAGATCCAGGAGAGAGAAAAAAAGCTAGAGTTTAATAAGGATACGTGTATCATTGCATAGTAGTGAAAATGCCTGGTACCATGATGATAAAATTTAATAAAAGATGATCGTTTCATGAGGTTCCATCATCTCTCGTTCTAAAGGAAAACGCATTATTTAAATTGGCTCGTTTTCCAAATACACGAATAGTTTCAAATGATCCGAATGCAATAGCGGGATGTCAAAATGTTGTTCCTTATTAGATGTCACGAGCCAAGTGGAAACTCACTCATTCCCTCTTGTATTTGAACACATTACGAAGAATGGTCCGGTCAACCCTTTAGAAATGCGGAGCGAAATGAAGCACACTCGGCAGACATTTTAAAATTATTACGATTTTTAAACGTAATGCTAAACTATTCAAGTGCAAATCTTCTCCGTAAATTATTTCTTTTATAACCCTGACCACGAACAATTTCACGGGAGGTGGGGGGGGGGAGGAAGAGGGGGGGGGCGATCGCACACTATTTTCCTTCGCCGACGTTTGCCGGGACTTGCACTGCTCGGGGTCACGGAGGGTCTCTCCCGACCCGCCACTCTCTCCAGACGACACAGAATCTACAAAACGACAAGAGGCTGCCGGTGGTGGGGGGGGGGGGCGGTTACTTATTCTCGGCACGCGCACGGAGCCTCCTGCATCCCAACAAACCCGGCACCACCGTCACCACTGCCGCCGCCGCCACCAAGCGAGAGGCCAGCACCGCTGCCGAGTGAGCAGCTTTGATCGACACCGCCACACCAAGTGAGGGGCCACCACCATCATCACCACCGGACAATCTTCCCCCATAATAAAGGTTTTTGGGACAGATCGCGTTATTTATAAATGTGTCGTAACCCTCCACCACACGACACGGCCAAATGTGTCACGTTTACAAAGGACAAAATTTTTTTTTATTTTGTCCTTTCTAAACGTGACACATTTTTTACTGTTTGGCCGTGTCGGGTGGTGGAGTGTTACGACGCATTGAAAAATAACGCGATCTAACCCAAAAACCTTTATTATGAATAATATTGGTCGCGAAAGCCTACTACGTGTTAAATCTTCTCCCATGTAGCCGAGAGAGGGTGTGCTGTTAGCGAGCACCTATGAAGGTCGACACGGCACACGAGGGTGCAGTGAGGTCAGCACCAGTGCTTCTATTTACACGCCAAACCAGGTGCAGTACTCATTTGAGACTACGTCAACACAGAGGAGGCTCAAGACCAGTTCAGATATCAATTACCACTGATCTTAGCTATGGCCAGAAATGCCACCCAGGTTGATGGCTTCATACTTCCTCTCCGACAAACCCACCGCCGTCACTGCCACTCTCACCACCAACACAACCACCAACCATGTGGCCAGACCACCAGCTCCTGAGGCATTGAGTCTCCACCACACCAGGCGACATGGGTAGCAGTCAGCAGAGCTGACGAGTGCCGTCGGCCCACGCAAATGCAGCTGCAAGCCACATCCACCAGAGGACGAGACCGGCGGAGTAATAACACCGGAGTCCCCACAAAGCCACAGAGTGATGCGTGGCCTGCGGTCCTGAACGTTCTCACAAAGTGTAGCGCACCGCTTGGCACAGCACACTGAACTCTCATGCACGAGTTCACCGTTGTTCAATAGCCATGGTTTTTTTTATCTTCCTTTGCACAACTACTTGATGTTTCATAATAATTTAGAGCCTTTGTCAAACCACTGCTGGACGAAGGCCTCTCCATGCCATCCCAGTCGTGCAGATTGTGACCATATTTCACCACGCTGGTCAGTGCAGGTTGGTGAAGGAGGAGAGGCCCAGGACTGGCTTACCGTTGATGTCAACCGTAACCGGGAATTGTAATCAGATCACCGGGTTGATAGCTCAGCGTCCCAACAACTGCCCATTCACACCCAACCCCCACATTGCATTCAAACATTAGATCACATATTACGTTCGCTTAAATTCGGTGAGACGATTGAAGATCAGTTTTCAAATTATCTATACATATATAGAACGAATTGATAGCAGGAGCGCCCGTTTTAAAACGCGCGTGTATCGGAGCAACGGTAGCTGCTTTCGCGCTCTCTCAAGGCTCCTCTCGACACCTGCTGCGGGCGTCGGAGACGATGCCGACGGGATAGGGGGCGAGGCACGCGCCGCTCGTTACGCAGGGGCACAACGCTCCCCGTTTCTACTGAACCTCGGCGTGAACAACCCGGAGCAGCGGGGAGGAGGAGGGGTCCCGGGGAGAGAGGGACAGAGTCCTGGACACCGAAACACTGCAGTGAGCACCTGACGACCATCGCTCCGGGGGGAGCAAAACAAGAGGGGATATAAACCCTGGACACGGCCCCCGGTGTTACTCTGTTTCCTGCTTCGTTTGGTTACATTAGTCCCCTTCTTTCCACTCTTCTTCTTCTTCTTTCGCTTCCCCGTTAATCTGCTGCTTCCCGATCGTAGCATCCTACCGTGGGTAGGGTAGTGAGAGCCCAAGTGCCTCCAGACACCAACCTCCCCCCCACCACCCCCCCCCCCCTATTTGAGACCGCATGTTCATAATTTGTACGTCCCTCTGCGATGTCCGTGTCCTGGGTTTCTTGAAAAA